CTCGAAATTCCGTTACCAAAGACCCACATATATTTAAGATATTTTCTAATTTCTCTCCCTCATGAGGGGGGAGGATAATACAAGTTCAAAAGAAGTAACAAGTAAAGGTAGACCTATCAATGAGTTAGTTTTTACTGATATCAATTTTGTTTAGGAATTATTAAGTGATTAAAACTCGAAATTCCGTTACCAAATTGGTAATGGAATTTCAGAAAAATCAGTAACTGAATTTCTGCAATTGAATTGGCTACAATGGGAGGTCATAGTAGTCACAAACCACAGTTGGGTTCACAAGTTTGTACTGTAGAGTACAGGACAGTAAAGGATAGTACTGTACAATAGAGTACAGTACACAGTAGAGCACACCAGAGTTGAGTACACCATAATGTACTGTACTGAACTCTATTCTTCTGTGTTTTGCTGTACTACTGTACAGTTATAGTGTTCTTAACTATGAAGTTGTTAATGTTCTTAGCTTTATCCTTTAAAAATAGACACCTGAAAAGATTCTGGGGATGAGCATGTGCATCTTCAATATGTTCCCATTGTTCCACTTTAGTGCATTTAACTATATGTCACAAGTAAAAGCTGTTCCTCTTTAGTGCATTTAACTATATGTCACAAGTAAAAGCTGTTCCTCTTTAGTGCATTTAACTATATGTCACAAGGAAAAGCTGTTCCACTTTAGTGCATTTAACTATATGTCACAAGTAAAAGCTGTTCCTCTTTAGTGCATTTAACTATATGTCACAAGGAAAAGCTGTTCCTCTTTAGTGCATTTAACTATATGTCACAAGTAAAAGCTGTTCCTCTTTAGTGCATTTAACTATATGTCACAAGGAAAAGCTGTTCCTCTTTAGTGCATTTAACTATATGTCACAAGGAAAAGCTGTTCCTCTTTAGTGCATTTAACTATATGTCACAAGGAAAAGCTGTTCCTCTTTAGTGCATTTAACTATATGTCACAAGGACAAGCTGTTCCTCTTTAGTGCATTTAACTATATGTCACAAGGAAAAGCTGTTCCACTTTAGTGCATTTAACTATATGTCACAAGGAAAAGCTGTTCCTCTTTAGTGCATTTAACTATATGTCACAAGGAAAAGCTGTTCCTCTTTAGTGCATTTAACTATATGTCACAAGGAAAAGCTGTTCCTCTTTAGTGCATTTAACTATATGTCACAAGGAAAAGCCTTGGGTAGCGAGTCTGGAATGTTAAAACCACCCTCAGACTTTTTATTCTGAATTATATTTGCCCATATAAAGTCTTATGACCGTGTATACTTTTTTAAAAAGAATGTCTTCAGTGGGGTAATTGGTATCACCGAAAATAAATACTGTACTGAACTCTGCTGTACTGAACTCTACTGAGCTCTAGTGTGTTGTACTTTAAGGTCAAAACTTGTGAAACATAGACTTCTATGATTGGTTCAGATTTGGTCCGGACCAACCAAATTTGGTCTTGTTTGTGGGCAGAGCTCATTAAAATAATAGCCAGTGTGTAGAATAATACCCAAATATGCAAAGGAGGATATTGCATATTTATACATTTGTGTACCTATTTAGGATACATCATCACCATGATGTATCCTAAAGTGGCGCAGTGTCTCCTGAGTGGCGCAGTGGTCCAAGGCACTGCATCGCAGTGCTAGCTGTGCCACTAGAGATCCTGGTTCGAATCCAGGCTCTGTCGTAGCCGGCCGTGACCGGGAGACCCATGGGGCGGCGCACAATTGGTCCAGGGTAGGGGAGGGAATGGCCGGCAGGGATGTTGGTAGAGCATGGCGTTTGCAACGCCAGGGTTGTGGGTTCGATTCCCGCGGGGGGCCAGTATGAAAAAAAAAATATATGTATGCACTCACTAACTCTGGATAAGAGCGTCTGCTAAATGACTAAAATGTAAAAAAATGTAAGAGAATGACCTTCATATCCATAATTATGTATTTAATTTGTTGTACAGATCAGTAACCCCATGATGAAATTCCGTTACCGGGTGTAAAATCCACTTCCCTTACTGTAGATCAATAACCAAAAGAGATTTTTTCAATGTGTAATGTCATAGCTGACACCCCATTCTTTCTGCAGACATTCTTGAATCTTAATTCGGAGCAGATATTAAAGTTTTTGGAAAATGTGGGAACAAAAAACTGAGGGAGATTTTACAGAAATTCTGTTACCAAACTTTGCATTTGCACTGTTCTTCCAGTAATGTGTTTTTGTAAAGTTGTCAGTGTAAAGTAGTCCATTTGTTGTATAGTTTAGCTTTGAAATCAATGGTTTTTGTTTGGCATACAGTTCATTCAGAAAGTATTCAGACCTCTTCCCTTTTCCACATTTTGTTACGTTACAGCCTTATTCTAAAATGTATTAAATTATTTGTTTCCCTCATCAATCTACACACAATACCCCATCATGACAAAGCAAAAACAGTATTCAGACCCTTTGCTATGAGACTCTAAATTGAGCTCAGGTGCATCCTGTTTCGTTTGATCATCCTTGAGATGTTTCTACAACTTGATTGGAGTCCATCTGTGGTAAATTCAATTGATTGGACATGATTTGGAAAGGCACACAACTGTCTATGTAAGGTCCCACAGTTGACAGTGCATGTCAGAGCAAAAACCAAGCCATGAGGTCGAAGGAATTGTCCGTGGAGCTCAGAGACAGGATTGTGTCGAGGTACAGATCTGGGGAAGGGTACCAAAAAATGTGTGCAGCATTGAAGGTCCCCAAGAACACAGTGGCCTCCATCATTCTTAAATGGAAGAAGGTTAGAACCACCAAGACTCTTCCTAGAGCTGGCCGCCCGGCCAAACTGAGCAATAGGGGGAGAAGGGTCTTGGTCAGGGAGGTGACCAAGAACCCGATGGTCACTCTGACTGATTTCCAGAGTTCCTCTGTGGAGATGGAACAACCTTCCAGAAGGACAACCATCTCTGCAGCGCTCCAGCAATCAGGCCTTTATGGTAGCGTGGCCAGACGGAAGCCACTCCTCAGTAAAAGGCACATGACAGCCCACTTGGAGTTTGCCAAAAGGCACCTAAAGGAAGCTAACCATGAGAAACAAGATTCTCTGGTCTGATGAAACCAAGATTGAAGTCTGGCCTGAATGCCAAGCGTCACATTTGGAGGAAACCTGGCACCATCTCTACGGTGAGGCATGGTGGTGGCAGCATCATGCTGTGGGGATGTTTTTCAGCAGCAGGGATTGGGAGACTAGTCAGGATCAAGGGAAAGTTGAAAGGAGCAAAGTACAGAGAGATCCTTGATGAAACCCTGCTCCAGAACGTTCATCAAGTTCACCTTCCAGCAGGACAACGACCCTAAGCACACAGCCAATACAACGCAGGAGTGGCTTTGGGAGAAGTCTCTGAATGTCCTTGAGTGGCCCAGCCAGAGCCCGGACTTGAAACTGATCGAACATCTCTGGAGAGACCTGAAAATAGCTGTGCAGCGACATTCTCCATCCAACCTGACAGAGCTTGAGAGGATCTTCAGAGAAGAATGGGAGAAACTCCCCAAATACAGGTGTGCCAAGCTTGTAGCGTCATACCCAAGAAGACTCGAGGCTGTAATCTCTGCCAAAGGTGCTTCAACAAAGTACTGAGTAAAGGGTTTGAATACTTATGTAAATGTGATATTTCTGTTGTTTAAAATAAAATAAAAAAATAAGCAAAATATTCTAAAAACCTGTATTTGCTTTGTGATTATGCGGTATTGTGTGTACTTCCAAATGCACTGTACATTTGAAGTCCGTTACTGTGGAATTGTCCTGCACTCTATAAGGAATATGGTGCTATTTGGGCCACAGCCCATGAGTATACTTTACCCTTTTATAGTCATCAGTTAACTGTGTTCCTGGAGTATAAAGCGTCTGAGGGAATCATAATATTAGTGTCTGAGGACAATATGGCTCAGCAACAGAAGACTAATGGCACCATGAGAAAGGATGGGGTGACTGTTATCACCACAGAGAAATACTAGCTCTCCTCTTCTGCCGGTCTGTGTTATCTCCAACTCCTCGAAGGTGGGTTCACACACACACATTACATTTGTAACTCTCATTTTCTTAACTGCATTGTTGGTTAAGGGCTTGTAAGTAAGCAATTAATGGTAAGGTCTACACGTGTTGTATTCAATAACATTTTTATTTGACTCACTCACTCACTCTAACATCCCTCTCATTGTAAAGTTGTAATGCAGAAAGATGCCGTTGGCTAGCTCCCATTTCACCAACAGTAACATGTAACAGTAACACTGGTCAGATTCCTCCTCCTGGTATCCATTAGTGAAATCTACCATCAGGACTAAGGAAGGGAAATGGGTCACTCCATCCTTCCTGCATGTCTCTGTTTCCCTCATTGGATTGTTTTCCCCTACCAGTCATACTTGGCCTCCTTCGGTAGTTGGAGCTTACAGTTTACAGCGGTGCCAGACTACCAGCGGTGCCAGACTACCAGCGGTGCCAGACTACCAGCGGTGCCAGACTACCAGCGGTGCCAGACTACCAGCGGTGCTAGTATAAAGTCAATTAAAGGATGTTGACTGGAGTGATTTAACCTCCCAGCAACCCCTGAAGATAAAATGGGTTTGCATCCAAAATGGCATCCTATTCCCTATGTTTTGTGTGCTACTTTTGACCAGGGCCCAAAGGCAATAGGGTGTAATTTGGGCCGCAGCCATAGTGTCTCACATTACGTTCAACTCACTGTGGTTGTAAACATGATCTTCATAACCAGGGAAGTATCCCAGGCTTCTATTGATATGCCTGTTGTGTTCTAAAATATATATCATCCGCTAAGTTGTTTTTAACAGAAGGATTTGCCTAATTTAAAACAAAACGCCAGGATGTGGGTGTATTGTATATGAATAACACCAGTTTGTTTTTCCCCAACCCTTTTATTTACGGCCACATACTCTATTCTGAGGGTATAACGGTTAGGGTGGTTTCTCTTCTCAGAGCAGAGCATGGGACTTCTAGTGCTAGTTTAGCGGGTTACTCATGCATGTCACAGGGCTGAATACAGAGCTCCATGATGAGCCTGGAGCGAGGGAGGGAGGGAGGGAAGGAAGGAAGGGAAGGTGAGGGCACGAGAGGAGAAAGAGAGACTGCTGCTGACTCTGTTTAAACATGCCTGTCAGCTCGGGCGGTTTGAGGTGTGTGTGTACTACTAGTGTGTGGTTGGAGTGTGTGTACTACTGGTGTGTGTTTGGAGTGTGTGTGTGTACTGCTGGTGTGTGTTTGGAGTGTGTGTGTGTACTACTGGTGTGTGTTGGAGTGTGTGTACTACTGGTGTGTGTGTTTGGGAGGTGTGTGTGTGTGTGTGTGTGTGTACTACTGGTGTTGTTTTGGATTGTTGTGTGTGGTGTACTACTGGTGTGTGTTTGGGAGTGTGTGTACTACTGATGTGTGTTTGGGAGTGTGTGTACTACTGGTGTGTGTGTTTGGGAGTGTGTGTGTGTGTGTGTGTGTGTGGTGTGTGTGTGTGTGTACTACTGGTGTGTGTTTTGGAGTGTGTGTGTGTGTGTGTACTACTGGTGTGTGTGTTTGGGAGTGTGTGTGTGTGTGTGTGTACTACTGGTGTGTGTTTGGGAGTGTGTGGTACTACTGGTGTGTGTTTGGGAGTGTGTGTTGTGTACTACTGATGTGTGTTTGAGGTGTGTGTACTACTGGTGTGTGTTTGAGGTACGTAGGGCTGGGTGATATGGCCTAAACCTATGGGCGATTCTCAATATAAACAGTATCTCAATAAATAAAACATCTCGAAATAAACTTTGTTGTACAATTAAAGGTCAAATACACTACATTTCAAACAGTCAGCAATAATCTAATTAGTTCAGGGCTTGTGAAATTATACCTAGGCTAAATATAAGCCTTCCACAACCATAAGTTTAAAATAGTTTTACCTGCTTTTTTGCAATAATCACTGATCTGGCTTAGAAATCTCTCTATGAAAATGCAATTTCTGATACAAATATAACCAGAACCATGCATGCATAATGCCCATTCACTAATAATGACTAACTTATTGTAGCAGGCATTATAGAAAATGAACACAGGTCTCATAAACAATCTCTCAAGCACAAGCCCACGTGTTATTGAGCAGCCAGCAATTTTTTAAATTTCAAGTTTAGCCAACTTGGATCTATTTGCTAGCTAACAAGGTAGAACAGTTGAATTGTACTGAACCCACCCTTCTGTCCATCTCCAACTGTTTGATGTTGAAATCAAGTGGCCGACCTTATTCTCAGCAAATGGAATGCGTTGCCAGCTCCTATATAATTGGTGTTTGCTTATTGCACCATTTAAAAACAAGATAGACAGCTAGTGTAAACAGTCTTGGCTAAAATCCTGCTAGGGTACAGTGGTCGCACACGACAGGAGCATTAAGTTTTCTTCAGATTCTTGCATTTGTTTTAGTAGGTCTCATAAAAGGATTGACTAAAACGGTAGTTTTAGGGTAGTAAAAAGGGTTGACTAAACAGGTAGTGATAAAAAGGGTAGTTGACATAAAAAGGGTAGTTGACATAAAAAGGGTAGTTGACATAAAAGGTTAGTAGAAGTTGAACTACTCCGCTATTACAGTTAAATAATGTCTCATTGTGTTTTGGTGTCCATGTGACCGATTCTGTTTGGCTAAACCTCAAATGCAATAGCGAGTTAAAACCTCTTGTCAGAGGAAGAACTGTTGGAGCTAGGAACATAAGCATTTCGCTACACCCTCTAACATCTGCAAAATATGTGTACGCTAACATTGATTTGAAAAGTGATTTTTGTTGTTGTTGTGAGTGGCAGGGGGAGGGGCTTGGTGTGTGGGGGAGGGGCTTGGTGTGTGTGTGTGTGTGTGTGTAAATGGGAAGGTGCACAGAAGGAGCGAATGAGACGACACCAAAAAGACAACATGAGAACAAACGGACAAACGCTCATAAAAACGGAAAAACACAAAAACGAGATTCTTGCGAAACAGGCATTTGGAATATCGCGCTAAAACATCAAATTTAATCAATTAATTTCCTGTTCCTGATCCTCTCACTGCTTACTGGAAACCAGATGTGAAATGATTCCTAACCTTTTCAAAAAACATATTATTCCTAACCTTTTTAAAAGTTATTATTAACACTGTTAACTGTTGGGCTACTCCAGCTCAGCAAGAATCCGAATAGTAACATTCTCTCTTGACTTTAACTTTAAGATCCTACTCTAAAGTACTTTTTGATCTAAAAGCAAACCTTGTCCTTGGAAGGTAGTGAAAGGTAACAAAATGGTTAAAAAAAATATATATATATATTTAGAATCTAGATTGATGATTCACACCTTCCCTGTTGAGAAGCACAGTTGAATAATGTTTTTGTCAATACACTATAAGGATGACTATTAAATTATCACAACTAATCAACAGTGTGATTGCAGTCTATAAGTATTTGATGAATGCATAGACAAGTTGAGTCAAAACTATGACAGGAAATTACTATTAATTTAGTCAACCATAATAACTGTTAGTCACCTTTCATGACTTCAAACACACCTAGATGATGTTGCCTATGTTACACCATTTACTTCTCACATGCCACCCTATCCCCTATATAGTGCACTACTGTTGACCAGCAGCCATAGGGATCTGGTCCAAAGTAGTGCACTATATAGGGAATAGGGTGCCATTTGGGACACAGGACAGGTGTTCAGACTGCTACAGACATTTTGAGTATTGAGTCTCTTGATTCCTTGACTGATATCATTGGCTTAAACCTGTCAAACTGGCTATGTATTTTAATAACACCACCTCCCATGATCAAGTATATCAAGGATCGTAAAACCTAACATCATCTGGATAGTCATGGGGAAGACTTGTTGGAATCCTGATGTTGACACTTGAAACTATTTTCCTATAGGCTAAGGCTATGCAGGATTAGTCCCCCCACCCCACAGTGTCTGGCATAATATCAACCAATATGTTAACTGTTCAGTACATATTCATAAACTATTCATACACTAATAAATGAGTTTATCATTTTAAGTACTATACCTTCATTTAAAGTGTCAGTAGTTGTCCACCAACTGCTTATACATTTAGTATAACATCATACTGCTGCTATTGTAACAGATGTGGTTGTTTATATAGCTTCATGAGGTAGTCACCTGGAATGCAGTTCAATTAACAGGTGTGCCTTGTTAAAAGTTAATTTGTGGAATTTCTTTCCTCCTTAATGCGTTTTGAGCCAATCAGTTGTGTTTGTGTTAACTTTTAACAAGTCACACCTGTTAATTGAAATGCATTCCAGGTGACTACTTCATGAAGCTGGTTGAGAGAATGCCAGGAGTGTGCAAAGCTGTCATCAAGGCAAAGGGTGGCTACTTTGAAGAATCTCAACTATAAAATATATTTTGATTTATTTAACACTTTTTTTGGTTACTACATGATTCCATATGTGTTATTTCATAGTTTTGATATCTTCACTATTATTCTACAATGTAGAAAATAGTACAAATAAAGAAAAACCCTTGAATGAGTAGGTGTGTCCAAACTTTTGACTGGTAGTGTAGATTTGACCTTTGTTGTTAATGAGCATGACATTTGATCCAATAAGACTCTCAGCTAAATGTTTACACTTTCAATCTTCTCAGATCAGTAGTGTGGAGACAAGGCTGCTTTGTCTAAGCATCACTGCAGTATGCTGTATAGGGACTGACCTAAACCACAGAGCTTTGCTTTAAGTTTAACCAAAGCCACGTACAGTACAGTACAGTGAGTAAGTGTATGAATCTTTAGTCATGTACAGTGAGGGAAAAAAGTATTTGATCCCCTGCTGATTTTGTACGTTTGCCCACTGACAAAGAAATGATCAGTCTATGATTTTAATGGTAGGTTTATTTGAACAGTGAGAGACAGAATAACAACAACAAAATCCAGAAAAACGCATGTCAAAAATGTTATAAATTGATTTGCATTTTAATGAGGGAAATAAGTATTTGACCCCCTCTCAATCAGAAAGATTTCTGGCTCCCAGGTGTCTTTTATACAGGTAATGAGCTGAGATTAGGAGCACACTCTTAAAGGGAGTGCTCCTAATCTCAGCTTGTTACCTGTATAAAAGACACCTGTCCACAGAAGCAATCAATCAATCAGATTCCAAACTCTCCACCATGGCCAAGACCAAAGAGCTCTCCAAGGATGTCAGGGACAAGATTGTAGACCTACACAAGGCTGGAATGGGCTACAAGACCATCGCCAAGCAGCTTGATGAGAAGGTGACAACAGTTGGTGCGATTATTCGCAAATGGAAGAAACACAAAATAACTGTCAATCTCCCTCGGCCTGGGGCTCCATGCAAGAAATCACCTCGTGGAGTTGCAATGATCATGAGAACGGTGAGGAATCAGCCCAGAACTACACAGGAGGATCTTGTCAATGATCTCAAGGCAGCTGGGACCATAGTCACCCAGAAATCAATTGGTAACACACTACGCCGTGAAGGACTGAAATCCTGCAGCGCCCGCAAGGTCCCCCTGCTCAAGAAAGCACATATACAGGGCCGTCTGAAATTTGCCAATGAACATCTGAATGATTCAGAGGAGAACTGGATGAAAGTGTTGTGGTCAGATGAGACCAAATCAAGCTCTTTGGCATCAACTCAACTCGCCGTGTTTGGAGGAGGAGGAATGCTGCCTATGACCCCAAGAACACCATCCCCAACGTCAAACATGGAGGTGGAAACATTATGCTTTGGGGGTGTTTTTCTGCTAAGGGGACAGGACAACTTCACCGCATCAAAGGGACGATGGACGGGGCCATGTACCATCAAATCTTGGGTGAGAACCTCCTTCCCTCAGCCAGGGCATTGAAAATGGGTCGTGGATGGGTATTCCAGCATGACAATGACCCAAAACACACGGCCAAGGCAACAAAGGAGTGGCTCAAGAAGAAGCACATTAAGGTCCTGGAGTGGCCTAGCCAGTCTCCAGACCTTAATCCCATAGAAAATCTGTGGAGGGAGCTGAAGGTTCGAGTTGCCAAACGTCAGCCTCGAAACCTTAATGACTTGGAGAAGATCTGTAAAGAGGAGTGGAACAAAATCCCTCCTGAGATGTGTGCTAACCTGGTGGCCAACTACAAGAAACGTCTGACCTCTGTGATTGCCAACAAGGGTTTTGCCACCAAGTATTAAGTCATGTTTTGCAGAGGGGTCAAATACTTATTTCCCTCATTAAAATGCAAATCAATTCATAACATTTTTGACATGCGTTTTTCTGGATTTTTTTGTTGTTATTCTGTCTCTCACTGTTCAAATAAACCTACCATTACAATTATAGACTGATCATGTCTTTGTCAGTGGGCAAACGTACAAAATCAGCAGGGGATCAAATACTTTTTTCCCTCACTGTATGTGATCCCTGCGGGAATTGAACCCACAACCTTGGGTGTTGTTAGTGCTCTTATCAACTGAGCGACACATGACCATTCACATGTCATGAACACAGCGCCCTGATGCCCTGTAGTGGAGAGAGTTGATACCATTCACAACGTTTTACTTCAGTTGGACCGTACTGCTGTTAATCTAGTTGTGGCCGCTCAGGCTGCGTCCCAAACGGCACCTTTAAAATAGGCTGTTATTTCCCAGTCAGACAAACAAACATGTCTGGTGGCTAATCTTATGGAGTGGGATGTGGGATGTGGGATGGCATTCTACGCTGATATTGACCTGAATGTTTTTTTTTTATACCGGCAGGCCAGCACTTACAGCACGGAATAAAGCGGTAACTGGTAACCATGGTAATAGTACAGTTGCTTACAACGTTTTATAGTGAAACACGATGACAACAAAGCTTGGCAAAGGCAGACACCCCTTACCGCCACTCGGATGCCTGCCCCTGGTAGTATGAGTGGATTGTTAGGTGCTGGTGACGAGGAGTGATATTTGATCGCCAAGGAAACACTCTGTCATAACCTCCTTTTCATATCAACAATTATTTGTCTGAGGCTTATCCTGACGGTCTGAGGTGTAGAAGACCAGTATCAGTAAGAGGAGAGGAGATGACCATGTGAAGTTTGATCTCATGACTATTCCTCATGGTTGGCATAGGGAAAGAGTGGTATAGTGGACTGTTCCCTTTACTACAAAGCATTGCATCACATTGGATCATATGATGTGATACAATCTGCCCAGTGCCCTGCCCACATTTATGATCAGTAGACATGAAGATGATGTTTAATCTAGTGGTGACGTTCTCTGATCTCATTCATTTTGAAGCTATCTGGTTGATTGTAACTGAATGTAGAGATATCATTACAAGCTATATTAACCTTCCGCTTTCTCGCTCCGTCATTTATTTATTCACTACATTGATCATAACACAATGAAGATATCATTACAAACTCAAACTAGACCTATGTTCAACTTCAGGGTTTTATTTTTTTAATTCACCTTCTCTATCGTTTACTTCTCTCGTGTCTTTGAACCCTGTCTCTCTCCCTGTTCAAGTGGAGCTCTGCCAGCCAGACCTACTGCAGACTGTAAGCTACTCAGCTGATAAACCAGAGTTGGCCAGAGGACAGCAGTAAATAAAGTCATAATTTCCTCTTCTGCCGCTCTGTTTTATCTGAGGCAGATACTAGGAAGAAGTAGGAAGTGGTTTTGGGCGTCCAGAGAGGAGATTTCTAGCCTGAGTGTCAGTCTTTTTGTGCCAAAACATGTTTTGCCTGACGATGACAACAGATTTGTCAAGAGCACAAACAGATCTGGGACTATACATTGAGAAACAGCTGATATACAGTATATGATTGAGGGCAACATTTCCCTACCAACTGCAAAAACAAAGTGAGACCACACTGACCTGTACCAAGGTCCAGCTGTATGACTATTTATAACACCTCTTGCTCTTCCAACTGGAGAGGGAATCCAAAAATATGTTGGTATTAGCCAGGTCACCTCAGTCTCTGTCTGCACTCCTGTATCCTGTTTCTGTCTGCACTCCTTTATCCTGTCTCCTGAACTAGCATCTTCTTCACTCTTCTTTATATTCCACTTTGTCCTCTTCATCGTGTAACGTTTACGATTACAACAAGCCTTGTAGATATCGTATTGCTGCCTGTCAATCCTTCCGGTCTCCATTTCCATAATTATGAGTGTGAAACCACTGTGTTTTTCTTTATCAACATACAGTATAGGACCAGTGAGGAGGGATAGTACAGGGGTTCCTAAACCTTTTCACTCTGGGCCCCCCTTCCAGCATTGGGGAACATCCCGCGTCTATCTCTATGGGCACAAGCACTGTTCATGACACAAACTGTTCACACCTCTGTTGTTGGTGGAGAGAATTTTGCAGGTTTAAAGCTTATTTCCTGCAATTCTACACATTTTGTCATGGGGTGCAAAGAAAAGTTTGCCGTTTTTAAAGCAGATTTTCTTGCAATTCTATAAATTTTGCCATGTCTAATATGTATTAATGTGATATTTGAGCGCCCAACAGTTTGGGAACCACTGGGACAGTAGAAACATCATGTGCATCCATCATCACCCACATTCTGTTATTTTCTTTCCCACTAGCAACGCTCTTAGAAAAGAAGGTTCTTCAATTGTCCTCATAGTTATTTTCATAAGGTTCTCCTATTTTTGGTGGAACCCTTTCGATAATACAAGGTTTTACGTGGAACCATTTCACCACTAAAAGGTTCTAAATAGATGAAATGTTTTCTAAGAGTGTAGCTAGCTCCCCCACCGTTCTGTACATGTGTCTCTAGATCCCTAACATTCCTGTTGAATCCAAATATTCCATTCCCTAACCCGTGGAGCTGTCAGGAATTTTTACATGTAGCCTTTGTATGCAGGAGTCGGGGGGATATGGAGACGTGGTGGGTGTGTGTCAAAGGCCTCCATTGTTGGAATGAGAAGCAGATGTTAGTGTGGAATTCTCCTGACTGCAGCAGTTTTTCACGGCTGTGCTTTGAGCGCTGCCTCTTTCTCTCTCTCTGGCTCTCCCTCTCCCTGTCTCTCTCTCTCTCTCTCCATCCTCTCTTCATCTCTCCATGTATTTGATCTAAAACTGTTCTTTCGTTCCTCCAGTCTGGCTGTCAGTTTCGGTCTTCCTTCTCTCTCTGTAATATTTTAATTTATTTCCCAGCCACCCCTCCCTGCCCACTGGTTCTAGTCTCTCTCTGTGTTCCAGGGGAGTTCTGGCCCAACCTCTGTCTATAGTTCTGGAAGTGTTCATATAGGAGCAACCCCACCCCTGTGATGTCAAACAAGGCGTTGGGAGGGAGAGACGGAGACATTCAGACATTTAAAAATGATCTCTCTTTCTGTCTCTCTGTCTCAGTGGTGTAAAGTACTTAAGTAAAAATACTTTAAAGTACTACTTAAGTCGTTTCTTTGGGTATCTGTACTTTACTTTACTATTGATAGTTTTGACAACTTATACTTTTACTCCACTACATTCCTAAAGAAAATAAAGTACTTTTTACTCCCATACATTTTCCCTGACACCCAAAAGTACTCGTTACGCTTCGAATGCTTAGCAGGACAGAATTATGGTCCAATTCACACACCTATCAATATAACTCGTTGTCATCCCTACTGCCTCTGATATGGCGGACTCACTAAACACAAATACTGTGTCTGTAAATTATGTCTGAGTGTTGGAGTGTGCCCCTGTTTGTCCGTAAATTTAAAAAAAACTAGAAGATTGTGCCGTTTGGTTTGCTTAATATAAGGAATTTGATGTATAGCATTTACTTTTACTCAAGCATGACAATTGATTACCTTTTCCACCACTGTACTTAAGTATATTTAAAACCAGATACTTTTACTCAAGTAGTATTTTACTGGGTGACTTTCACTTTTACTTGAGTCATTTTCTATTAAGGTCTCTTTACATTTACTCAAGTAGGACATTTTTAAGTACTCTTTCCACCACTGCTCTGTTGTATTTCGGGGTTCCTCTGTGTCGTGGGTCTACCTGCCTCTGAGGCTAGCTTGCCACGTTGACAGAATTTCTCCGTCCCGGCCGCTATCCTGGGCTGAAGGCAGGAAGTGGGTCTGTCTCTGTCTGGCTGCTGTGGACACTGCGCTGGTGTTTCATCACTATTAGTGATGGGACGTTCAGCTCTTTTTACTGACTCTGATCTTTTTTAGAGGCGTTCAGTCAAAATAACAAATATTTTGACTAATTTCGTTCATTTTGAATCATTACTGCTCAGAGCATACAAGAACACTTAGTGGCGAACGATGAACTGAAAACTCGAAAGAATCATGATTCTAAAAGCCTCTTGTTCACATCGTTAACCATAAGGGGCTTATTGGAGCTGTCATTTGTTTGAATGAGACTTGTAAACGTGTCTTTTTAAACAATATACATTTGTTGATTGCTAGGCATACAAATACGATTATTTCTTGATACATTTGTAACAAGGTATAGTTGTGGTCGCTACCGAACTAGATTGTGAACGACTCTTGGCGGAATGGATTACTTGACTGGCGTGAGGGTGATAAACACAATATTGTTCAAAATGCAGCCCCCCCAAACGATTCATTCTCGAGTTTGTTGAGCAGAGGTTGTGTAATTCTTGGTTCTACTAAGCTGTGTCCATCATAACATTCAATGATCAATTAAATTCCTACCTGAAAGTGTAACAGGATATGATTTTAATAGAGGACACAACAGAGACCACAGCATTAGACTAACCGCTTTACTTAACAAAATAATACAACCTACAGGATGCTGTTAATAAGTAATGGAATGCTTACCTCACCAAGACATCTTATGACCATAAGGCATAATACAATAATTTATATTATACATACATTTCTATACACAGTTGGGGTCTCGCACATAAAGACAAATATTTTATTACATAAGTAGTTGATTTAAGTTATGTCATATACTAGAGAGACTAGGAAAAGAAGAGGTCAGACATGATGGATAATGGTTGTTGTTAACCTGCTCTCTGTGTGTGTGTGTGTGTGTGGTGTGTTTAGTTGTAGAGAAGTAGAGTGAGAGTGAGCGATCCAATTATGTCCATCTTTCCCCTAATTTAACCTTCATGGCATCACACACACACACACACACACACCTTTTGCTCTGCACTGTAGTGTGGTATTGGCTGTTCTATGTTATCTGGAGCAGCACTTCTACATGCACTCTGCTGCTGTTGTGTTTTAGACAGGAAGGTAGGGATGATTCTACATCCGTCATACACACACCCTCCTAGCTCCTGGACATGGCCCATCAAAAGCTCTTTGCTGAGTGGGCTCAGCCTGCCTGACATGATACACTGCTGCCAGCTGTCAGGGTGGGTTTGTGTGCATCAGAACAATTTTGAATAGGGATGAAACAGTTGTGTTATCGCTGCGTCATTGCACTAAGTAGGGGAATCAGTTAGTTACACGCATTGACTTTTATTTATATATATACACTAGATGACTGATAGGGGGCGCTGTGTTGAAGCCACCGCGCCTCCATCTTGGCACTCCCCCACCATTGTACAAAATATTTTGGAAGCTATAGAAATGCATGTATTCTATTACAGACACCTTAATGCATACTTTTAAATTATATTATGTAAGCTAAACATAAAAATAAAATAAAATAAATCCTTAAAGTATCTGTTTTTTTATTTTTGCTAATGTTACTATCCACACTACAACAACATTTTTAAATACATGTAGTTTTGTCCTTGAAACATTATTTAATTGAAATACTGTAGAATTCCATTCATTCCTATGGAGGACTGCTGCTACTGTGGAGTGCCAAAATGGCCGACCGTTGGCTTCAAAGCCTCTCAATTGCCAATGCATAGCATCAGCAATCCAGGGTTTATATACATCACTGGTTGCACGGCACGCCCATCTCCCTCCCTCCCAGTCACACCATCGCCATCATCATCAACTACTTTCCTCCAGTTCCCCTCCAGACAGAGACAGACAGACAGGACTCAGTCAGGGGTTACGTTTCAAAAGGCACCCTATTCCCTAAATAGTGTACTACTTTCTACTACTTCTCTCTCAAAAGTAGTGCAATATATAGGGAATAGGGTGCCATTTGAGACTAAGTCAGGGACTATGGCAACATGATATTCTCGATGTTATATCACATATGACGAAGTCTGTTTTCAGGTACCTACTGAACCATACTGTACGCTCTTCTCAGATATACTCGTCACAGTCAAGCTGTGGAAAAGCTCTGTCCATTTTGCAGTTTGATGTTTTTGTTATTGTTATAAACTTTAAGGTCAATTGTTGTTTTTCCAAACTTGTTGGGGGGGAGACGTATGCCCTTTTATATTCCCTGATATTTGTATAATATGTTATTTTATCTGTTGTTTATTATGTGTTGTGTATTAACTCATTGGTTTTGGAACCTCTCCTCGGGAACCCCTAGATGTTTCACAATGTTTGTTGTAGCCCTGAACTAGCTCCCCTAACTCACCTAATCAAGGGCTTGGTAGTTGGTTGAATCTGGTGTGCTAGCTATGGAATAGTTCAAATACATGGAACGGCTGGGGGTCCCAGAGGAGAGTTTTGAAAACCTCTTAACAAACTCTACATCACCATGCAGCAGTGCTAACGTGATGTCCCCTCCTCTGTCTGTCCTCTACAGTGTGTGGGCCTGCCCTGTGTCCTGGTGCCTCCCATGTGCTGGCCTGCTGAGGCTGAGCCTGGTGTCTCCTCGCTGGGCTTCGGCTGTAGCTGAACCAGGGCTTCTGCTGGTACTACTGGTGCTGGTGGTGGTGGGTGTCCCACCCCAGGGGCCTGGAGGAGCCCAGTCCGTCCGGGCCGTGGGGCCTCTCCGGACCACCTCCCAGACACACGAAGATGAACAAGCTGACCAGCTTCCACAACAACAAAGCTATGCAGGACCGCCGCTGTATCTGTGTCTTTCTCCCCAACGACGACACACTCAACGTCATCGTCAATGTGAGTACTGTGGTATAGTGTATTATCCAAAAGCCAGGGTCAGGAATGGCAGTAATTGCTTTAAAACTAGCAATACCATTCATCGTTGTTTCACAGTGCGTCTAAATGCAGTCTAAATGACTGTGTCCGATCTCCTCCTGTACGTCCTGACCCCTAACCCCTGACCCCTAACCTCTTGCTGTGTATTTGATCTCTGCTCAGGTGAAGACTTTGTGCCAGGAGCTGCTGGTCCAGGTGTGTGACCTGCTCCGACTGAAGGACTGTCACTTGTTTGGACTCAGCGTCATTCAGAGTAAGAATGGTTTACTGTTGTGTGTGTGTGTGTGTGTGTGTGTGTGTGTGTGTGTGTGTTCCTGTCTGTCGTCTGTTGCTGTGTCTGACATCTCTCACCTCACTGTAACGTCTGTCTGTCTCCCATCTCAGTCCCCATCTCAGCCTGACTGACTGGGGCTCATTGTCTCTGTGGTTAAAGTCGCAGCATAGTTTACTGAGTGTTATATCAGAGCAATGAGCAGTTAGCCCTCCCTCTGTACAGTCCCAATGAGTTACGCCTCAATTCTCCAGAAGTGTGCACTTCTCCCCACACATTTAAAAGCATTGGATTGGTGTGTATGCGTGGGATAGAGGGAGTTTCCACCATATGTCTTATACCAGACCAATGAAGGGAATTGAACAAGTGTACACCTAGGACAGAAGGGTAGATAATTAGAACAAAGAATTAGACTGTCCTAGGCAGCCTCTGGGGAGCCATCTCTGTCAAACAGCCATTCTCCTGACTGGGCTGAGCCAGTCCTTCTGGTGCAATCTCGCGCTCTCTCTCGCGCGCGCTCTCTCTCGCGCGCGCTCTCTCTCGCGCGCGCTCTCTCTCGCGCGCTCTCTCTCTCGCTCTCTCTCTCTCGCTCTCTCTCTCGCGCTCTTTCTCTCTCTCTCTCGCGCTCTCTCTCTCGCTCTCTCTCTCTCTCTCTCTCTCTCTCTCTCTCTCTCTCTCTCTCTCTCTCGCTCTCTCGCTCTCTCGCTCTCTCGCTCTCTCGCTCTCTCGCTCTCTCGCTCTCTCGCTCTCGCTCTCTCTCTCTCTCTCGCGCTCTCTCTCGCGCTCTCTCTTTCTCTCTCTCTCTCTGTACTCTGTACTCTGTACTCTTTCTCTCTCTTCCTTCCTCTCTCTCACTCTAATTTAATTTCATTCAAAATACTTTATTGACATGGCAAGTTAAATTACTTATATTGTCAAAGTATACATATAACAAAAATTATGGGACCAACAGCAATAATAATAGTAGTAGTGGAAATGGGATTACCATTAACAGCAACTACAACAACAATATTAATGAGAATAACAATACATTAAAGCAATAGTAGTCGACCAGTCTCAACATGACTGAGAAGACACATGACATGGTATGAAAGCCAAAACAAAACTAAACAGGAAATATTATTGACATTACATTGCACTTTTCACTGGCTGTCCCTCAGGTTGTGGCAGGAGAAACATATTTGGCTGCCAAAACGGTATAGTTATAGTTTCAAATTCTTTGTACTGAATTATTTTGGGAAAGAAAGATTCTCTTAGGTCTGAGTATTTGTTACAGTGTAATAGGAAATGCAGCTCTGTCTCTACCTCTCCCCTGGTGCAGAGTGAGTGCAGCCTGTCCTCTCTGGGCAGCCAGGTTGGCCTGTGACGACCGATCTCTATAGCCAGACTGTGCTCACTGAGTCTGTACCTAGTCAGTGTATTCCTCAGTTTTCTATCAGTCACAGTAGTCAGATACAGTGGGGAGAACAAGTATTTGATACACTGCCGATTTTGCAGGTTTTCCTACTTACAAAGCATGTAGAGGTCTGTAATTTTTATCATAGGTACACTTCAACTGTGAGAGACGGAATCTAAAACAAAAATCCAGAAAATCACATTGTATGATTTTTAAGTAATTATTTTGCATTTTATTGCATGACATAAGTATTTGATACATCAGAAAAGCAGAACTTAATATTTGGTACAGAAACCTTTGTTTACAATTACAGAGATCATACGTTTCCTGTAGGTCTTGACCAGGTTTGCACACACTGCAGCAGGGATTTTGGCCCACTCCTCCATACAGACCTTCTCCAGATCCTTCAGGTTTCGGGGCTGTCGCTGGGCAATACGGACATTCAGCTCCCTCCAAAGATTTTCTATTGGGTTCAGGTCTGGAGACTGGCTAGGCCAATCCAGGACCTTGTGATGCTTCTTACGGAGCCACTCCTTAGTTGCCCTGGCTGTGTGTTTTGGGTCGTTGTCATGCTGGAAGACCCAGTCACGACCCATCTTCAATGCTCTTACTGAGGGAAGGAGGTTGTTGGCCAAGATCTCGCGATACATGGCCCCATCCATCCTCCCCTCAATACGGTGCAGTCGTCCTGTCCCCTTTGCAGAAAAGCATCCCCAAAGAATGATGTTTCCACCTCCATGCTTCACGGTTGGGATGGTGTTCTTGGGGTTGTACTCATCCTTCTTCTTCCTCCAAACACGGCGAGTGGAGTTTAGACCAAAAAGCTCTATTTTTGTCTCATCAGACCACATGACCTTCTTCCATTCCTCCTCTGGATCATCCAGATGGTCATTGGCAAACTTCAGACGGGCCTGGACATGCGTTGGCTTGAGCAGGGGGACCTTGTGTGCGCTGCAGGATTTTAATCCATGACGGCGTAATGTGTTACTAATGGTTTTCTTTGAGACTGTGGTCCCAGCTCTCTTCAGGTCATTGACCAGGTCCTGCCGTGTAGTTCTGGGCTGATCCCTCACCTTCCTCATGATCATTGATGCCCCACGAGGTGAGATCTTGCATGGAGCCCCAGACCGAGGGTGATGGACCGTCATCTTGAACTTCTTCCATTTTCTAATAATTGCGCCAACAGTTGTTGCCTTCTCACCAAGCTGCTTGCCTATTGTCCTGTAGCCCATCCCAGCCTTGTGCAGGTCTACAATTGTATCCCTGATGTCCTTACACAGCTCTCTGGTCTTGGCCATTGTGGAGAGGTTGGAGTCTGTTTGATTGAGTGTGTGGACTGGTGTATTTTATACAGGTAACGAGTTCAAACAGGTGCAGTTAATACAGGTAATGAGTGGAGAACAGGAGGGCTTCTTAAAGAAAAACTAACAGGTCTGTGAGAGCCGGAATTCTTACTGGTTGGTAGGTGATCAAATACGTATGTCATGCAATAAAATGCAAATTAATTACTTAAAAATCATACAATGTGATTTTCTGGATTTTTGTTTTAGTTTCCGTCTTTCACAGTTGAAGTGTACCTATGATAAAAATGACAGACCTCTACATGCTTTGTAAGTAGGAAACCCTGCAAAATCGGCAGTGTATCAAATACTTGTTCTCCCCACTGTAGTCTGCCACAATGTACTGTCTGTTTAGAGCCAAATAACATTGACGTTTACGTTGATTTTTTGTGGTGTCTTTCCAATAGGTGATATATTTTTTTCTTTTTGATGATTTGGTTGGCTTAGATTTTCTGAGTGCTATCCTGAGGCTCTATGGGGTTGGTTTGGGCTTTGGGCATTGTCTGTCTGTCTCTGTCTGTCTGTCTGTCGTCTTATGAGCTGAGAGTTTCCCTGCTGAACTGAAAGGTTTGGTTCTTCTATAAAAGCCCTTGGAGTGGAAAATAGCAGAGGAAAAGGTCTGACAGGCCAGTATGTCAGCATAAAGACTAAGCCCTGCAGTACAGGAGAGGAAGAGGCTTAGCTAGCTGCCTAGTTGCGCTACAGCGAGGGTTGGGTGGGGTGACAGGTATGTGGGCAGAGTGATGATTGGTCAGTACGAGGGGGTGGGTGGGGTGACAGGTGGGTGGGCAGAGCAGGGGGTTGGTACTGGGCTGGGGATGAATGGTAGGTAGGGGTTAGAGAGGGGTTGGAGGTAGGGGTTAAAGAGGGGTTTGGTGGTAGGGGTTAGAGGGGGTTGGATGGTAGGTAGGGTTAAGAGGGGTTGGATGGTAGGTAGGGGTTAAGAGGGGTTGGATGGTAGGGCTAGAGGGGTTTGGGGTAGGGGTTAGAGCGGGTTTGGATGGTGGTAGGGGTTAGAGGGGTTGGATGGGTAGGGGTTAGAGGGGTTGGATGGTAGGTAGGGGTTAGAGAGGGGTTGGATGGTAGGTAGGGGTTAGAGGGGTTGGATGGTAGGTAGGGGTTAGAGGGGTTGGATGGTAGGGGTAGAGCTGGATGTTGGGGTAGGGGTTAGAGAGGGGGTGGATGGTAGGGGTAGAGCTGGATGTTGGGGTAGGGGTTAGAGAGGGGTTGGATGGGAGGGGGTTGGGGGTTGGTAGGGGATAGAGCTGGATGTTGGGGTAGGGGTTAGAGTGGGGGTTGGATGGTAGGGTTAGAGCTGGATGTTGGGGTAGGGGTTAGATAGGGGTTGGATGGTAGGGATAGAGCTGGATGTTGGGGTAGGGGTTAGAGTGGGGGTGGATGGTAGGGATAGAGCTGGATGTTGGGGTAGGGGTTAGAGAGGGGGTGGATGGTAGGGATAGAGCTGGATGTTGGGGTAGGGGTTAGAGTGGGGGTGGATAGTCACTGTTTGCCTTGTGATTTCGCGCTGTTCAGACAAGCAGCTCAGGAATGTCCCTAAATCAGCCCCACTGGTTCCTGGTCAATAGACCTGTCCTGCAGGGCATGTGATTGGCTCATCTCATCTGATGGCAATCTGACAGAACAACACTGGCTGACTGGCCCTGCTGCAATTTGCTTTCCTTTGCAGTTGCTTGCAATTGTCACTGCCTTTATGTCTGTCAACCTCTATGTCTGTCTGCTACACAGGAGTCAATGGGTGACTCATTCCATGCATATCACCGACCCAGAGACAACTCTGTCATCATAAAGTGACTTAAGTTAACCCTTTGTGTTTGTCCCCCTCCAGACAATGAGCACATCTACATGGAGTTGGGCCAGAAGCTGTCTAAGTACTGTCCCAAGGAGTGGAAGAGAGAGGCCAGCAAGGTGAGTCAGTCTACACAACCCAATAGTACCCAGCAAGCACATAACGTTCTGAGAACCATCCCAGCTAGCACATAACGTTCTGAGAACCATATGTTTCTTAGAGCTTGGTGAGAGCGTAGTTGTCCTATGGTTAATTTGCATACAACCTTCCCACAACTTTCTGGGAAAGGTGCAGGATAGTTGCTTGGCTTTGCTCAGCAAATTAAAGGAATTTGACATTTTTTGTTTGTTTTGGTATTTCATTACTATAAATTAATGTTTCCTAAAACTTCAAACATAGTTACATTTCATTTCAATTTTGGTAATATTTTAGGAACGTTCTCCAACTGGTTTGACATTGGGAATGTTCTCATAGTTCAGAGAACATTAAGAAATAATGTTCTTCTTTGGGAATTTCAGTACTTCAGCATAACGTTTTCTGCAGGTTTCCTCATGGTTCTATTTAAAGTCCTGTTCTCAGAACATTAAGACAACTCTCTCTAGCCTCTATCTTGTAAAGTGTGTTGGCTGCGTCCACTAATTGGGCACACCTGATCTTAATGAGTGCTTTTTTCCTTTGAAATGGGGTCTGTTTGAATAGACTAAAATGAACAGCTTTGTATGAGTTAAAAAATAACATGGCATGCTAGCTTCATCCTGGTGGCGCAGTGGACTAATTCCATGGATAGAGAACAGAGGATTATAGGTTCAAATCTAACTGAAGCCGTGCAACAACAAAATGTGTTTGCATGATTAATACCAAAGCAAATTAATTTCCATGTGTCCTATTTGTGCATGGAGTTCGAAACAGTTAACCCAAACTAAGCTAGCAGTGTTATTAAAAGTCTTATTGAAACATTCAGTGAAAGCTTTAAGGAAGTTATAAAAAAAACTAAAAATAACCTTTTTAATTTTGTTCACAACATTTTAGAGAATGTTCTCAAAACGTTATTTAATTACCTTCAAAAACCTATAATTTCCGTTCTCAGAACGCTAATAAAATCTCCCAGGAAAACATTCAGGAAACCATAGTAAAACATTTTCAGAACCTCCCTGCAGTTTTACCGGTCAGGAAACGTATTGCTTTGTTCCCAGAACCAATGGGAAACCAAAAACGTACCTTCCCTCAACTTACAAGGAACCAAAAGTGCTAGCTGGATAGTATCGCTCTAGAGACTTGGAGTATGAAAAGAAATGGAAAAGCTGCACTCTAATAGAGCCCCACAGTGGAGGTGTCATAATACCCATAAAACCTAGCGGTCAAACAGGGAAATGGTTCCAATTGTTTTTCCACCATAAACTTTTCCCATAAGGGATTTTAGAAACACTTAAAATAAGGGCTGTGTTTCGTGTAGGCTTACCCTGGTGTGACATTTTGATAACCATGTAAATCTCTCTCAGTCAAGGTGACTTTTATCAATATATTCGACTCTCTGGCTCCGATGCAATCGTTTATTTAACAATCGTTTCGACAGCAAGTTGTCTTTTATCAGGGTTTCAAGGTTTGCAAGATTACCCCCAACAGACATAGTCAATCTTAAATTCAAATATGTGAGCAACTGCTTTTGATTTCATGATGGAAGTTTGATTTTATATTTATAGAATCAATACACTGTCTTGATGGTTTGATTTGCTCTAAAATAACAAACATCGTTTTTAATTTGTATATTGATGTTTTCAGGGTATCGATCAGTTTGGGCCTCCTATGATCATCCACTTCAGGGCTCAATATTACGTTGAGAATGGGAGATTAATAAGGCAAGTAATCCCACACAGATCCTATAAATTACTATTTGATTCTGTATGCAATTCTATGAGTAATCTCCTTTTACAGACTTCAGTTTAACAATCAGAGCCAAGTCTGATGTAATTCTGAATAAGCTGTTTGGATTGATAGATACTGAAACTGCATGAGTAGATCTAGTGTGATGAGATGTGTTTCTGAGGACAAGGATAGAAAGAAAGTGAGGGAGCTCATTGTGGCTTAATGTCCCAATGGGGGTGAAAAGGATTAAGTAAGTACGTTACGAAGGATATGTCTTCTCTTGAGGGTTATGTCTTCTCTTGACCCTCTTCTCTTGAGGGTTATGTCTTCTCTTGAGGGTTATGTCTTCTCTTGAGGGTTATGTCTTCTCCTACTCTACTACAGGCCCCTGAGTATGGTGATCTACTGTAGCGGGATGTGTTGGAATCATGATGTCTTCTCTCTTCACTTCCAGTGACCGCTCAGCCCGGTACTACTACTACTGGCACCTGAGGAAACAGGTGTTGCTGTCTCAGTGTATGCAGAGAGAGGAGGCCTACTTCCTGTTGGCAGCCTTCGCCCTCCAGGCCGACTTGGGCAACTTCAAACGCAACAAACACTTTGGGAAGTACTTTGAACCTGAGGCCTACTTCCCTCCATGGGTGAGTAGATCTGACCTAACCAGTACCACATGGAGTTTTTCACTGTGCATCTGCATTGCTTGATCTTTTGGGTTTTAGGTTGGGTATCTGTAAAGCACTTTATGGCAACTGCTCATATAAAATGGGTTTTATAAAATCAATTTGATTGATTGATTGTGGTTGCCCAGGCAGTATGAAGCCCTTCCTCTCCCTTCCCCACAGCCCCTCTAACCCTTCATTGTTTACAGACCTGAAGATGGGTATAGCCAGTGTAGTGGTGAAGTTTCCACCATATTGCTACAGATATGAAAACATGGAAGGGTTAGGACCAAGGGAAAAGTGGGTAAGGAGTAAATTGGGACCAGCTAAATGTAGTCTAGCACACAGCCTGAATATAGGCCTGTAGCCTGTTTCATTCATCATTGAGCTCCAACAATTTGAGACACTCCCTCATTGGAGCATGCTGGGATAGCTGGATCTAGGACACTAGTTTTATTTTGGTCCCTGGTAGTGGCATGCAGCACGCTTGACTCTTGAGAAATGATCTGGATGCGAGCTGGCTAAATTTGCTGCCTCCCCTCTACTACTCGACATGGCCCCCCTCCCCTCCCGGACACGACTGTGCCCCACCCCTCTAATTACCAAACACTTCCTGTGATTAGCCTGTTGACGTCCCATTGGTCCCATCTCCACTTTGAAGCCAGGAAATTGTTGTACAATCAGGAATGGTACATAAATACCTCCTCTCAGGGTGTTGTCTAACTAGTTCTGAGTGAGTGACTGGTTCAGGAGAAACGCCCCAGAAAAATCCTTCTTTAACCGGTCTCCTCCCCTTCATCTACACTGATTTTGAAGTGGATTTAACAAGTGACATCAATAAGGGATCATAGCTTTCACCTGGATTCACCTGGTCAGTCTATGTCATGGAAAGTGCAGGTGTTCTTAATGTTTTGTATACTCAGTGTATAGGGAATAGGGTGGACGATGCCTTTAGTGCCCAGCTGGACGATGCCTTTAGTGCCCAGCTTGACGATGCCTTTTGGGAAGTAATATCATTATGTGAGACATCTGTCTTCCCCTGGGCGGGGGGTTTCATCAACCTCCATTAACCCCACTGGCAAGCCTTCCTTCCTTCTGCCAGTGAGCTGACATCAGAACCAGCAGCTAGAGTTCACACTCCAATGAGATGCTTGTATGAGAGAATTCCTTTGTCACCACACTGAAACCAGCCTATATGTCTGTCTCTCTCTTCCAGGTGATAGCCAAGCGAGGCCGAGACTACATCCTGAGACACATCCCCAACATGCACAAAGACCAGTTTTCCCTCACCGCCTCAGAGGCTCATCTCAAATACATCAAGGAGTGTGCCCAGCTGGATGATGTCACAGTCCACTACTACAGACTCTATAAGGTCAGAGGTCAACCTGGACACACACACACACACACAAACACACACACACACACACACACAATTAACTTACCAATAAACTTCTATCTCTTCCCCAGGACAAAAAGGATGTGGAGGCTTCCATGACTTTAGGACTGACCTTGCGTGGGATCCAAATATTTCAGGTACAGTAGTAAGGATGAAGTGGGTGTGATGGTGGGTGTGATGGCTAAATGTGTCTAGGTCATGTGTTATTAATGTGTATGGTTCATATGATGATTTATATAATGTTTCTGTTTCTCTCAGAACGTGGGGACAGTGAAACAGCTCCTGTATGATTTCCCCTGGACCAATGTGGGCAAACTGGTATTTGTGGTGAGTAGAGCCATGGAGATGGTACAGTGAGGGAAAAAAGTATTTGATCCCCTGCTGATTTTGTACGTTTGCCCACTGACAAAGACATGATCCGTCTATAATTTTAATGGTAGGTTTATTTGAACAGTGAGAGACAGAATAACAACAAAAAAATGCATGTCAAATATGTTATAAATTGATTTGCATTTTAATGAGGGAAATACGTATTTGACCCCTCTGCAAAACATGACTTAGTACTTGGTGGCAAAACCCTTGTTGGCAATCAGAGGTCAGACATTTCTTGTAGTTGGCCACCAGGTTTGCACACATCTCAGGAGGGATTTTGTCCTACTCCTCTTTGCAGATATTCTCCAAGTCATTAAGGTATCGAGGCTGACGTTTGGCAACTCGAACCTTCAGCTCCCTCCACAGATTTTCTATGGGATTAAGGTCTGGAGACTGGCTAGGCCACTCCAGGACCTTAATGTGCCTCTTCTTGAGCCACTCCTTTGTTGCCTTGGCCGTGTGTCTTGGGTCATTGCATGCTGGAATGCCCATCCACGACCCATTTTCAATGCCCTTGCTGAGGGAAGGAGGTTCTCACCCAAGATTTGACGGTACATGGCCCCGTCCATCGTCCCTTTGATGCAGTGAAGTTGTCCTGTCCCCTTAGCAGAAAAACACCTCCAAAGCATAATGTTTCCACCTCCATGTTTGACGGTGGGGATGGTGTTCTTGGGGTCATAGGCAACATTCCTCCTCCTCCAAACACGGCGAGCTGAGTTGATGCCAAAGAGCTCGATTTTGGTCTCATCTGACCACAACACTTTCATCCAGTTCTCCTCTGAATCATTCAGATGTTCATTGGCAAACTTCAGACGGCCCTGTATATGTGCTTTCTTGAGCAGGGGGACCATGCGGGCGCTGCAGGATTTCAGTCCTTCACGGCGTAGTGTGTTACCAATTGTTTTCTAGGTGACTATGGTCCCAGCTGCCTTGAGATCATTGACAAGATCCTCCCGTGTAGTTCTGGGCTGATTCCTCACCATTCTCATGATCATTGCAACTCCACAAGGTGAGATCTTGCATGGAGCCCCAGGCCCGAGGGAGATTGACTGTTATTTTGTGTTTCTTCCATTTGCGAATAATCGCACCAACTGTTGTCACCTTCTCACCAAGCTGCTTGGCGATGGTCTTGTAGCCCATTCCAGCCTTGTGTAGGTCTACAATCTTGTCCCTGACATCCTTGGAGAGCTCTTTGGTCTTGGCCATGGTGGAGAGTTTGGAATCTGATTGATTGATTGCTTCTGTGGACAGGTGTCTTTTATACAGGTAACAAGCTGAGATTAGGAGCACTCCCTTTAAGAGTTTCCCTCATTAAAATGCAAATCAATTTATAATATTTTTGACATGTGTTTTTCTGGATTTTGTTGTTGTTATTCTGTCTCTCACTGTTCAAATAAACCTACCATTAAAATTATAGACTGATCATTTCTTTGTCAGTGGGCAAACGTACATAATCAGCAGGGGATCAAAAACTGTTTTCCCTCACTGTATATACTAAGAGGTAAGGCTGGGACGATGCCAGTATCTCGATACTCGTTAGTACGTGGCAAGGAAACAAAACACAAAGCAGATTTAACTGCTTTAGGAAACAGCCCTAATGTTGGAAACAAACATAATTATATTGTCATCCAGTGTCACATTAATTTATTTTCCAAGCTGGTATCATCACAGCCCTACTAAGAGTCATGAAAATTGTGACTTGAGGTTGAGTCAGAGTCCTGGACTCAACACTACAACACTGATGTTTAGTGCCCTAATGTAGTTTAATGGGTAGAGCAGCCTCTCCCGTACATCCCTCATTCCCCTGCTTCCCTCGTTCATAAATGTCAGAAGTCCTTAGGCACTTAGAAGGCTCAGGGGAGTCTTTCTCTTTCTGGAAGATCTGTTATTTTTTTCACTCATGATTCCAGCCGTGACGTCTTTGGAGCTTGAAACCAGTCCTGACTTATGGCAGTTGTTAGTGAAAGTTCAGCTCTTACACAGACAACAGTTGTGGAAGTAGTGACACAGAGCTCCTCTTCTCTGTTGGGTCTTCTTACCCCTAGCTGCTACAGTCACTTCACTACCATAAGGCACTGTTCCCCAACTGGCGGGGCCCTCAGGGGATTTTATTTGGCACTGCAATTTTTTATTCTTGTTTCTGGACAGAAAATACTGTTAAAACACCAGGAATTCATCTCAAATCGATTTGAATTTTGGAAATCTGTCCCAAAGTATTCTCACGCATAAGAGGTGTGTGTGTACACTGAAACAAAAATATAAACATAACATGCAACAATTTCAAAGATTTTACTCAGTTACAGTTAATCTTGCCATATCTTCAATTTAAGCCTACTAAAAAGTGTGTGCCCTCAGGCCTGGAGGGAAGCAAAAGTTATTCCCCTACCTAAGAATAGTAAAGCCCCCTTAACTGGCTCAAATAGACGACCAATCAGCCTGTTACCAACCCTTAGTAAACTTTTGGGAAAATGGTGTTTGAGCAGATACAATGCTATTTTACAGTAAACAAATTGACAAGACTTTCAGCATGCTTATAGGGAAGGACATTCAACAAGCACAGCACTTACACAAATGACTGATGATTGGCTGACAGAAATTGATGATAAAAAGATTGTGGGGGCTGTTTTGTTAGACTTCAGTGCGGCTTTTGACATTATCGATCATAGTCTGCTGCTGGAAAAATGTGTGTTATGGCTTTACACCCCCTGCTATAATGTGGATAAAGAGTTACCTGTCTAACAGAACACAGAGGGTGTTCTTTAATGGAAGGCTCTCCAACATAATCCACGTAGAATCAGGCATTCCCCAGGGCAGCTATCTAGACCCCTTACTTTTTTCAATCTTTACTAACGACATGCCACTGGCTTTGAGTAAAGCCAGTGTGTCTATGTATGCGGATGACTCAACACTATACACGTCAGCTACTACAGCGACTGAAATGACTGCAACACTTAACAAAGAACTGCAGATCGTTTCAGAATGGGTAGCAAGGAATAAGTTAGTCCTAAATATTTCAAAAAATAAAAGCATTGTATTTAAAACAAATCATTCACTGAACCCTAAACCTCAACTAAATCGTGTAATGAATGTGGAAATTGTGCAAGTTGAGGAGACTAAATTGCTTGGAGTAACCCTGGATTGTAAACTGTCATGGTCAAAACATATTGATACAACAGTAGCTAGGATGGGGAGAAGTCTGTCTATAATAAAGCGCTACTCTACCTTCTTAACAACACTTTCAACAAGGCAGGTCCTACAGGCCCTAGTTTTGTCGCACCTGGACTACTGTTCAGTCGTGTGGTCAGGTGCCACAAAGAGGGACTGAGGAAAATTGCAATTGGCTCAGAACAGGGCAGCACCGCTGGCCCTTGGATGTACACAGAGAGCTAACATTAATGATATGCATGTCAATCTCTCCTGGCTCAAAGTGGAGGAGAGATTGACTTCATCCCTACTTGTATTTGTGAGAGGTATTGACATGTTGAATGCACTGAGCTGTCTGTTTGAACTACTGGCACAGCTCGGACACCCATGCATACCCCACAAGACATGCCACCAGAGGTCTCTTCACAGTCCCCAAGTTCAGAACAGACTATGGGAGGCCGACAGTACTACATAGAGCCATGACTACATGGAACTCTTTCCACATCAAGTAACTCATGCCAGCAGTAAAATTAGATTTAAAAAAACAGGTAAAAATACACCTTATGGAAAATCGGGGACTATGAAGCAACACGAACATAGACACATGCATACAAACACATGATAACATACGCACTATACACACATGGATTTTGTATTATAGGTAAGTGGTAGTAGAGTAGAGGCCAGAGGGCACACACTTAATATGTTGTGAAATCAGTTATGAATGTATTGTAATGTTTTTAAAATGTATAACTGCCTTAATTTAGCTGAACCCCAGGAAGAGTAGCTGCTGCCTTGGCAGTTCATCGTTGCGGTGTGTCTAAAATGGAACTGCTTAGTTTTTACAGCTAGCACAGTGTAAATATCATGACGTCTCTGTGAACCAGTTCCTCTAGTATAGCTTTGTGTAATGACAACCTATACCCTATAGATTGATTTAGTGGTACGGTCATCAATGCCACTGTCATGCCATGCCACTTATGATAAGACATCCTGTTTTGCTCCGTCTATGTCCATGTTTAGCCTTTCTATTCATATAGGAAGACTGAGGAAAGCGTGGATGTGGTTTACATGGGGACTAGAGGGGCCTCTTATGGAAGGGACCATCGGTCAAACCCTTTTTCTGAAAACAGACTCTCTCTCCACTGCCACTCCACCCTGAGCACGTCAGCCGGCCCGGCGCTGCAGTAGGCAAGAGAGGGAAGAAGGGATCGGAGCGGAGGGAGGGAGAGAAGGGTGGAGGGACGTGTCAATAAACACGACCAGAAGTTGTGATTGTTAGGGAGTGGATATGGTTTGGTCTATTGGCAGGGCCTGAGTTGTGATGGTCAGGGGCTGGATATGGTTTGGTCTATTGGCAGGACCTGAGTTGTGATGGTCAGGGGGTGGATATGGTTTGGTCTATTGGCAGGACCTGAGTTGTGATGGTCAGGGGGTGGATATGGTTTGGTCTATTGGCAGGGCCTGAGTTGTGATGGTCAGGGGGTGGATAAGGTTTGGTCTATTGGCAGGGCCTGAGCTGTGATGGTCAGGGGGTGGATAAGGTTTGGTCTATTGGCAGGACCTGAGTTGTGATGGTCAGGGGGTGGATAAGGTTTGGTCTATTGGCAGGGCCTGAGCTGTGATGGTCAGGGGGTGGATATGGTTTGGTCTATTGGCAGGGCCTGAGTTGTGATGGTCAGGGGGTGGATAAGGTTTGGTCTATTGGCAGGACCTGAGTTGTGATGGTCAGGGGGTGGATAAGGTTTGGTCTATTGGCAGGGCCTGAGCTGTGATGGTCAGGGGGTGGATATGGTTTGGTCTATTGGCAGGGCCTGAGTTGTGATGGTCAGGGGGTGTCTAGGCTTATTTTCCACCATAATTTGCAAATAAATTCATTAAAATCCTACAATGTGATTTCCTGGATTTTTTCCCCTAATTTTGTCTGTCATAGTTGACATGTACCTATGATGAAAATTACAGGCCTCTCTCATCTTTTTAAGTGGGAGAACTTGCACAATTGGTGGCTGACTAAATACTTTTTTCCCCCACTGTATGTATGTGTGTGTGTGTGTGTGTGTGTGTGTGTGTGTGTGTGTGTGTGTGTGTGTGTGTGTGTGTGTGTGTGTGTGTGTGTGTGTGTGTGTGTGTGTGTGTGTGTGTGTGTGTGTGTGTGTGTGTGTGTGTGTGTGTGTGTGTGTGTGTGTGTGTGGTGTGTGTGTGTGTGTGTGTGTGTGTGTGTGGTGTGTGTGTGTGTGTGTGTGTGTGTGTGTGTGTGTGTGTGTGTGTGTACAGTCATGGTTAAAAGAGAATGACACAAATATAAATGTTCACAAAGTCTGCTGCCTCAGTTTTTATGATGGCAATTTGCATATACTCCAGAATGTTATGAAGAGTGATCAGATGAATTGCAAAGTCCCTCTTTGCCATGAAATTTAACTTAATCCCAAAAAAACATTGCTACTGCATTTCAGTATGAAAATGTATGCACTCACTAACTGTAAGTCGCTCTGGATAAGAGCGTCTGCTAAATGACTAAAATGTAAATGTTAAATTTCAGCCCTGCCACAAAAGGACCAGCTGACATGTCAGTGATTCTCTCGTTAACACAGGTGAGAGTGTTGACGAGGACAAGGCTGGAGATCACTCTGTCATGCTGATTGAGTTAGAATAACAGACTGGAAGCTTGAAATCATTGTTCTTCCTCTGTTAACCATGGTCACCTGCATGGAAACACGTGCCGTCATCATTGCTTTGCACAAAAAGGGCTTCACAGGCAAGGATATTGCTGCTAGTAAGATTGCACCTAAATCAACCATTTATCGGATCATCAAAAACTTCAAGGAGAGAGGTTCAATTGTTGCGAATAAGGCTTCAAGGCGCCCAAAAAAGTCCAGCAAGCGCCAGGACCGTTTCCTAAAGTTGATTCAGCTGCGGGATCGGGGAACCACCAGTGCAGAGGTTGCTCAGGAATGGCAGCAGGCAGGTGTGAGTTCATCTGCACGCACAGTGAGGCGAAGTCTTTTGGAGGATGGCCTGGTGTCAAGAAAGGCAGCGAGGAAGCCACTTCTCTCCAGGAAAAACATCAGGGACAGACTGATATTCTGCAAAAGGTACAGGGATTGGACTGCTGAGGACTGGGGTAAAGTCATTTTCTCTAATTTTCTCTAATGGGGCATCCGGAAAAAAGCTTGTCCGGAGAAGACAAGGTGAGTGCTACCATCAGTCCTGTGTCATGCCAACAGTAAAGCATCCTGAGACCATTCATGTGTGGGGTTGCTTCTCAGCCAAGGGAGTGGGCTCACTCACAACTAAGAACACAGCCATGAATAAAGAATGGTACCAACACATCCTCCGGAGAGCAACTTCTCCCAACCATCCAAAAACAGTTTGGTGATGAAAAATGCATTTTCCAGCATGATGAAGCACCTTGCCATAAGGCAAAAGTGATAACTAAGTGGCTTGGGGAACAAAACATCGAAATTTTGGGTCCATGGCCAGCAACTCCCCAGACCTTAATCCCATTGCGAACTTGTGGTCAATCCTCAAGAGGCGGGTGGACAAACAAAAACCCACAAATTCTGACAAACTCCAAGAATTGATTATGCAAGAATGGGCTGCCATCAGTCAGGATGTGGCCCAGAAGTTAATTGACAGCATGCCAAGGCGGATTGCCGAGGTCTTGAAAAAGAAGGGTCAACACTGCAAATATTGACTCTTTGCATAAACTTAATGTAATTGTCAATAAAAGCCTTTGACACTTATGGAATGCTTATAATTATACTTCAGTATACCATAGTAACATCTGACAAAAATATCTAAAAACACTGAAGCAGCAAACTTTGTGATGACCAATACATTTACGTCATTTAGCAGACGCTCTTATCCAGAGCGACTTACAATACTTGTGTATTTCTCAAAACTTTTGACCACGACTGTATATGTGTGTGTGTGTGTATATGTATGTATGTATGTGTGTGTGTGTGTGTGTGTGTGTGTGTGGTGTATGTATGTGTATGTGTGTATATATATATATATATATATATATATATATATATATATATATATATATATATATATATATATATATATATATATATAATTTTAGTCATTTAGCAGACGCTCTTATCCAGAGCGACTTACATATCTTTGAGTGCATACATATTTTTATTTTTTTCATACTGGCCCCCGTGGTGTGTGTGTGTATATACACTAACGTTCAAAGGTTTGGGGTCACTTTTCGAAATAAAAGCAATTTCTTTGTCCATTAAAATAACATCAAATTGATCAGAAATACAGTGTAGACATTGTTAATGTTGTAAATGGCTATTGCAGCTGGAAACTGTTGATTCTTTATGGAATATCTACATAGGCGTACAGAGGCCCATTATCAGCAACCATCAGTCCTGTGTTCCAATGGCACATTGTGTTTGCTAATCCAAGTTTATCATTTTAAAAGGCTAATTGATCATTAGAAAACCCTTTTGCAATTATGTTAGCACAACTGAAAACTGTTGTGCTGATTTAAAGAAGCAATAAAACTGACCTTCTTGAGACTAGTTGAGTATCTGGAGCATCAGCATTTGTGGGTTCGATTACAGGATCAAAATGGCCAGAAACAAATAACTTCTGAAACTCGTCAGTCTATTCTTGTTCTGAGAAATTGCCAAGAAACTGAAGATCTCGTACAACGCTGTGTACTACTCCCTTCACAGAACAGCGCAAACTGGCTCTAACCAGAATAGAAAGAGGAGTGGGAGGCCCCGGTGCACAACTGAGCAAGAGGACAAATACATTAGTGTCTAGTTTGAGAAACAGACGCCGCACAGGTCCTCAACTGGCAGCCTCATAAAATAGTACCCGCAAAACACCAGTCTCAACGTCAATAGTGAAGAGGTGACTCCGGGATGCTGACCTAGGCGTGTGTGTGTGTTTGCAAAGGGTGGCAATTTGAAGAATCTCAAATATAAAATATATTTTGATTTGTTTAACACTTGTTTGGTTACTAAATGATTCCATATGTGTTATTTCATAGTTTTGATGTCTTCACTATTATTCTACAATGTAGAAAATAGTAAAAATAAATAAAAACCCTTGAATGAGGAGGTGTTCTAAAACTTTCCCCCGGCTTAGACACAGCTTAGACTCTTATGGGTTAATAATAAACTGGTCTTAAATACATCTAAAACTAAAAGCATTGTTTTGAACCAAATATATTCTCTAAGACCTAACCCTCAGATGGAGTTGTGTACAAAGGGTGTGACTCCTAGGAAGCTAATCTCCTAGGTTTAACATTGGATGGTCAATTATGGTCACGTCATATTGACAAAGTTGTTGTGAAGATGGGGAGGGTTATGTTTGTTTATAAAAAGATGTTCTGCGTTTTTGACTGTACTAGTTGTTCAGGCTCTTGTCTTGTCCCATCTTGATTACTGTCCGATAATGTGGTCAAGTGCAGCAAAGAAAGACCTAGCAAAGCTGCAGCAGACTCAAAACAGAGCAGCACGCCTTGCCCTTAACTGCACATACAGAACTAACAACAACATGCATGCCAGTCTTTCCTGGTTGATGAGAGATGAACTGCTTCCCTTCTAGTTTTTATGAGAAGTATTACTGTAATAAAAATTCCAGATTGTCTGCATAATCAAATAACATTCAGCTCAGACACCCATACATACCCCACAAGACATGCCACCAGGGGTCTCTTCACAGTCCCCAAGTCCAAAAATGAATTCATGGTAATGCACAGTATTTTACAGAGCCATGATCGCATGGAACTCCCTTCCATCTCCAATTACTCAAACAGTAAAATTACCTTCTTTTTTTTTATCTCATGGAACTGCAGGGACTGTGAGGGGACACACACAAACACACTCTAACACACGCATACTTTATTTTTTATTGTGTATTATTCTTTTTGTTGTTGAATTGTTTGTATATCATTGTATTTTGAATTTGTGTGACTGTCCTTGTGTGTCAGTGTTGTTACTTCCTGGACCCCAGGAAGAGTAGCTGCTGCTTCTGCAAAAGCTAATGGGGATCCAAATAAACAAATTAGAAAACGTTGAAATGTTTCTGCAGTTTTGTTTGTGTCCCTCAATCTGGAGATTCAGCTCTTGTTTTGGTTGTAAGAAGTGCCGCAGAATAGTTTTCAAAGAAGAGACCGTTCTGTGCTCTCTTCGTCCCCTATTGTGTGTTTTGCCTGTGGGGATATCTGGCACTCTGCCTCTCTAGCAAAGTATCTGAATCCTCTCATGCACCCCCTCTGCAAATGAACGAAGATGCTGAAAATGAACAAAGATGCTGAAAATGAACAAAGATACAACACTCGCACTGATGTCTGTTGAATCACACAGGGTCGTCCCTCCATTATTTTCTCAGGCACAAAGATCTTCCATAATCATAGCGTTAAACATCAATTAATCAATCAGCTGGATGACATGTAGATAGCATGATATCCTACAAGTATTCTAACCCCTATTCCTCTCTCTCTGTTTCAGGGTAAGAAGTTTGAGATCCTGCCGGATGGTCTTCCGTCGGCCCGTAAACTGATCTACTACACCGGTTGTCCCCTACGGTCCCGCCACCTCCTACAGTTGCTCAGCAACAGCCACCGTCTCTACATGAACCTGCAGCCTGTTCTCAAACAGGTCCGCAGGCTGGAGGAGAACGAAGGTAAACTACCTACCTGGCCACACCTACCTGGCCACACCTACTTCTACCTGGCCACACCTACCTGGCCACACCTATCTGGACACACCTACCTCTACCTGGCCACACCTACCTCTACCTGGCCACACCTACCTGGCCATGCTGCCATCTTGACTCCTGGAATCTCCTGGTGTCTCCTGGAATCTCAGCATTCCTTCCCTTAGCCAATTGTAATGTTGATATTAACATTTACATATTAGCAGACGCTGTTTTCCAGAGTGACTTACAGGAGCAATTAGGGTGAAGTGCCTTGCTCAAGGGCACAGACAGATTTTTCACCTAGTCGGCTCGGGGATTCAAACCAGCGACCTTACGGTTACCGGCCTAACGCTCTTAACAGCTAGGCTACCTGCTGCCATATATTCATTTTTTTCAGTCATCTTTCATGTGTCGGGCATATCCATAATGCCTTAGGAGCGAATTCTATATCTGACCAGCTCCTGTAAGGTTCTTTAGCTGTGGTACTGCTGTATCTAACCCTGTCTGTCCCTCCTCTCCAGACAAGAAGCAGTACCGTGAGTCGTACATCAGCGACGCGTTGGAGCTGGATATGGACCGGCTGGACAAGCGTTCCCGGGCCAGCGGCAGCAGCGCCGGCAGCACCGTGTCTCACCTCAAATGCCTGTCTCGCCACTCCACTGCCAGCCACAGCAGCTCACACACCTCGGGGGTGGAGACAGACAGTTTCCTTGCCCCCGGAGGGGCCCTGCACCGGGCCCTGAGGACCTGCAGCTCCTCAACGACTAGCCATGGGAGCTCACACACCTCGGGGGTGGAGAGCGGGTGCAAGGAGCGCATGCTGGACGATGATGGTAAGGCAATCGATTGCACACACGGCAAGGGACATACACATGGAACACACATATACACTGTTTGTCATGCCTTCTCCCCTGCTCCACTAGTGATCATCACTGGCCCTCTGTCTGTCTGACTGTCCCTCCAGAGAATAATATTAGTGTCTGTCTGACTGTCCCTCCAGAGATTAATATTAGTGTCCGTCTGTCCCTCCAGCGATTTAATATTAGTGTCTGTCTGTCTGTCCCTCCAGAGATTAATATATATATATATATATATATTAGGGGGTAGATCAGCTTTAATATTGCAGATAGATTACATACAATGGGGAGAACAAGTATTTGATACACTGCCGATTTTGCAGGTTTTCCTACTTACAAAGCATGTAGAGGTCTGTAATTTTTGTCATAGGTACACTTCAACTGTGAGAGATGGAATCTAAAACAAAAATCCAGAAAATCACATTGTATGATTTTTAAGTAATTAATTTGCATTTTATTGGATGACATAGGTATTTGATCACCTACCAACCAGTAAGAATTCCGGCTCTCACAGACCTGTTAGTTTTTCTTTAAGAAGCCCTCCTGTTCTCCACTCATTACCTGTATTAACTGCACCTGTTTGAACTCGTTACCTGTATAAAAGACACCTGTCCACACACTCAATCAAACAGACTCCAACCTCTCCACAATGGCCAAGACCAGAGAGCTGTGTAAGGACATCAGGGATAAAATTGTAGACCTGCACAAGGCTGCGATGGGCTCCAGGACAATAGGCAAGCAGCTTGGTGAGAAGGCAACAACTGTTGGTGCAATTATTAGAAAATGGAAGAAGTTCAAGATGACGGTCAATCACCCTCGGTCTGGGGCTCCATGCAAGATTTCACCTTGTGGGGCATCAATGATCATGAGGAAGGTGAGGGATCAGCCCAGAACTACACGGCAGGACCTGGTCAATGACCTGAAGAGAGCTGGGACCACAGTCTCAAAGAAAACCATTAGTAACACACTACGCCGTCATGGATTAAAATCCTGCAGCGCACGCAAGGTCCCCCTGCTCAAGCCAGCGCATGTCCAGGCCCGTCTGAAGTTTGCCAATGACCATCTGGATGATCCAGAGGAGGAATGGGAGAAGGTCATGTGGTCTGATGAGACAAAAATAGAGCTTTTTGGTCTAAACTCCACTCGCCGTGTTTGGAGGAAGAAGGATGAGTACAACCCCAAGAACACCATCCCAACTGTGAAGCATGGAGGTGGAAACATCATTCTTTGGGGATGCTTTTCTGTAAAGGGGACAGGACGACTGCACCGTATTGAGGGGAGGATGGATGGGGCCATGTATCGTGAGATCTTGGCCAACAACCTCCTTCCTTCAGTAAGAGCATTGAAGATGGGTCGTGGCTGGGTCTTCCAGCATGACAACGACCCGAAACACACAGCCAGGGCAACTAAGGAGTGGCTCCATAAGAAGCATCTCAAGGTCCTGGAGTGGCCTAGCCAGTCTCCAGACCTGAACCCAATAGAAAATCTTTGGAGGGAGCTGAAAGTCCGTATTGCCCAGCGACAGCCCCGAAACCTGAAGGATCTGGAGAAGGTCTGTATGGAGGAGTGGGCCAAAATCCCTGCTGCAGTGTGTGCAAACCTAGTCAAGACCTACAGGAAACGTATGATCTCTGTAATTGCAAACAAAGGTTTCTGTACCAAATATTAAGTTCTGCTTTTCTGATGTATCAAATACTTATGTCATGCAATAAAATGCAAATTAATTACTTAAAAATCATACAATGTGATTTTCTGGATTTTTGTTTTAGATTCAGTCTCTCACAGTTGAAGTGTACCTATGATAATAATTACAGACCTCTACATGCTTTGTAAGTAGGAAAACCTGCAAAATTGGCAGTGTATCAAATACTTGTTCTCCCCACATACATACATACAGTTGAAGTCAGAAGTTTACATACACCTTAGCCAAATACATTTAAACAATTCCTGACATTTAATCCTAGTAAAAATTCCCTGTTTTAGGTCAGTTAGGATCACCACTATATTTTAAGAATGTGAAATGTCAGAATAATAGTAGAGAGAATTATTTCTTTCAGCTTTTATTTCTTTCATCACATTCCCAGTGGGTCAGAAGTTTACATACACTCAATTAGTATTTGGTAGCATTGCCTTTAAATATTTTAACTTGGGTCAAACGTTTTGTGTAGCCTTCCACAAGCTTCCCACAATAAGTTGGGTGAATTTTGGCCCATTCCTCCTGACAGAGCTGGTGTAACTGAGTCAGGTTTGTAGGCCTCCTTACTCGCACACGCTTTTTCAGGATGAAAAGGATGAACCAGACTTGTGGAGGTCTACAATTATTTTTCTGAGGTCTTGGCTAATTTCTTTTGATTTTCCCATGATGTCAAGTAAAGAGGCACTGAGTTTGAAGGTAGGCCTTGAAATACATCCACAGGTACACCTCCATTTGACTCAAATGATGTCAATTAGCCTATCAGAAGCTTCTAAAGTCATTTTCTGGAATTTTCCAAGCTGTTTAAAGGCACAGTCAACTTAGTGTATGTAAACATCTGACCCACTGGAATTGTGATACAGTGAATTATGGGTGAAATAATCTGTCTGTAAACAATTGTTGGAAAAATTACTTGTGTCATGCACAAAGTAGATGTCCTAACCGACTTGCCAAAACTATAGTTTGTTAACAAGACATTTGTGGAGTGGTTGAAAAACGAGTTTTAATGACTCCAACCTAAGTGTATGTAAACTTCCGACTTCAACTGTGTATATTAATCTCTGTCCTTCCAGAGATTAATAGTAGTGTCTGTCTGTCCCGCCAGAGATTACTATTTGTGTCTGTCTGTCCCTCTAGAGATTGATATTTCTGTCTGTCCCTGCAGAGATTGAGATGTTAGTAGACGACCCTAAAGACTATGAGGAGCTCCATGAGCTGACCCTGGAGCTGAACCAGGACCTGTGCATCCACATCACTGAGGACATGCTGAACATGTCCCCTGACCAGACCAACGGATACTCGGGTACATACAACCACTGTCTTACCTTATCTACCCAGACCAACAGATACTCCGGTACATACAGTGGGGAAAAAAAGTATTTAGTCAGCCACCAATTGTGCAAGTTCTCCCACTTAAAAAGATGAGAGAGGCCTGTAATTTTCATCATAGGTACACGTCAACTATGACAGACAAATTGAGAAAAAAATATCCAGAAAATCACATTGTAGGATTTTTTCTGAATTTATTTGCAAATTATGGTGGAAAATAAGTATTTGGTCACCTACAAACAAGCAAGATTTCTGGCTCTCACAGACCTGTAACTTCTTCTTTAAGAGGCTCCTCTGTCCTCCACTCGTTACCTGTATTAATGGCACCTGTTTGAACTTGTTATCAGTATAAAAGACACCTGTCCACAACCTCAAACAGTCACACTCCAAACTCCACTATGGCCAAGACCAAAGAGCTGTCAAAGGACACCAGAAACAAAATTGTAGACCTGCACCAGGCTGGGAAGACTGAATCTGCAATAGGTAAGCAGCTTGGTTTGAAGAAATCAACTGTGGGAGCAATTATTAGGAAATGGAAGACATACAAGACCACTGATAATCTCCCTCGATCTGGGGCTCCACGCAAGATCTCACCCCGTGGGGTCAAAATGATCACGAGAACGGTGAGCAAAAATCCCAGAACCACACGGGGGGACCTAGTGAATGACCTGCAGAGAGCTGGGACCAAAGTAACAAAGCCTACCATCAGTAACACACTACGCCGCCAGGGACTCAAATCCTGCAGTGCCAGACGTGTCCCCCTGCTTAAGCCAGTACATGTCCAGGCCCGTCTGAAGTTTGCTATAGTGCATTTGGATGATCCAGAAGAGGATTGGGAGAATGTCATATGGTCAGATGAAACCAAAATAGAACTTTTTGGTAAAAACTCAACTCGTCGTGTTTGGAGGACAAAGAATGCTGAGTTGCATCCAAAGAACACCATACCTACTGTGAAGCATGGGGGTGGAAACATCATGCTTTGGGGCTGTTTTTCTGCAAAGGGACCAGGACGACTGATCCGTGTAAAGGAAAGAATGAATGGGGCCATGTATCGTGAGATTTTGAGTGAAAACCTCCTTCCATCAGCAAGGGCATTGAAGATGAAACGTGGCTGGGTCTTTCAGCATGACAATGATCCCAAACACACCGCCCGGGCAACGAAGGAGTGGCTTCGTAAGAAGCATTTCAAGGTCCTGGAGTGGCCTAGCCAGTCTCCAGATCTCAACCCCATAGAAAATCTTTGGAGGGAGTTGAAAGTCTGTGTTGCCCAGCGACAGCCCCAAAACATCACTGCTCTAGAGGAGATCTGCATGGAGGAATGGGCCAAAATACCAGCAACAGTGTGTGAAAACCTTGTGAAGACTTACAGAAAACGTTTGACCTGTGTCATTGCCAACAAAGGGTATATAACAAAGTATTGAGAAACTTTTGTTATTGACCAAATACTTATTTTCCACCATAATTTGCAAATAAATTCATAAAAAATCCTACAATGTGATTTTCTGGAGAAAAAAAATCTCATTTTGTCTGTCATAGTTGACGTGTACCTATGATGAAAATTACAGGCCTCTCTCATCTTTTTAAGTGGGAGAACTTGCACAATTGGTGGCTGACTAAATACTTTTTTTCCCCACTGTACAACCACTTGCTGTCTTCATTCACCCTGTCTTAGGACAGCCTCCTATCTCAGTGCGTCAGTGAGACTGGTTGAATTGAACTTGGCTGGGAGGTCAACGGATGGTGTTGTAGTAGTATTAGTTGTTGTTTTTTTATGAATGTCCTCCGCTCTGTCTGCACTGTAGGACTCATAGTGAAGGACGTCCGCTCATCCACCTCCAGTTCCTCTGAGACCGTGGTCAAGATGAGAGGCAAGAGCATCGAGTCTCTTCCTCAGGTCAGTGACAGTTACGACATATCCTGTTTGGTACTGACTAGGGATGTTAACAGTTAACCGTTTTTCCCGGTTAGCCAGCAAAATACATTTGACCGGTCATGCTTATCGGCCTATAGGTTAATTTGCATAATTGAGTGGACTTAAATTGATGTGTGTGTATTTTCGTTAGTTCGTCAGGCATCTTATTTACCACACGCGCACAGCAATATGCTACATGAGCGGAAATAAAATCACCTGTCGGACAGCGAGAGCTGTTCTATTGGTTTTCATATCCATTTTATTTCGTTGTCGAGAAGCCAAAGGCACCTTCCTAGTCATATTAGCAACCCATCCTAGTTGTTGCATTTTAGATCCTCTTTCTTTCTAAGTTTCTAACAGATATTTTCATCTCTCACACATGGAGCTGCTGGCATCTGGTTCGCTGTTTAGAACAGTGTTTTTCCCCGCGAATTGCATTTTGGCAAATGTTGGAAATGTTTTTAATTGGCTGCTTTGTTACAGTAGTTGTATGTTCAGTAACAGCCTTTAGGCTGTGAGATGATTGGCTCGCTACTGTTGCATGATTCAAGTAAGCTCTATAATGAAACATCTGTTCCTTGTATGCACACATAGTATTTTCAAATCAAATCAAATTGTATTTGCCACATGTGCCGAATACAACAGGTGTAGACATTACAGTGAAATGCTTACTTACAAGCCCTTAACCAACAATGCATTTTTTTAAGATAAAAAAAAAAAAAGTGTTAAGTAAAAAAGATAAAAGCGAATAACTAAAGAGCAGCAGTGAAATAAATAACAGTAGGGAGGCTATATACAGGGGGGTACCGGTACAGAGTCAATGTGATGGGGGCACCGGCTAGTCGAGGTAATTGAGGTAGTATGTACATGTGGGTAGAGTTAAAGTGACTATGCATACATAATAAACAGAGTAGCAGCAGCGTAAAAGAGGGGTATGGGGTGGGGTGGGGGGGACAATGCAAATAGTCCGGGTAGCAATGATTAGCTGTTCAGGAGTCTTATCGCTTGGGGGTAGAAGCTGTTGAAGCATTTTGGACCTAGACTTGGCGCTCTGGTACCGCTTGCCGTGCGGTAGCAGAGAGAACAGTCTATGACTAGGGTGGCTGGAGTCTTTGACAATTTTGAGGGCCTTCCTCTGACACCGCCTGGTATAGAGGTCCTGGATGGCAGGAAGCTTGGCCCCAGTGATGTACTGGGCCGTACGCACTACCCTCTGTAGTACCTTGCGGTCGGAGGCCGAGCAGTTGCCATACCAGGCGGTGATGCAACCAGTCAGGATGCTCTCGATGGTGCAGCTGTAGAACTTTTCTGAGGACCCATGCCAAATCTTTTCAGTCTCCTGAGGGGGAATAGGCTTTGTCGTGCCCTCTTCACAACTGTCTTGGTGTGTTTGGACCATGATAGTTCGTTGGTGATGTGCACACCAAGGAACTTGAAGTTCTCAACCTTTTCTGTTGGTCATTTAACTATTTGGAACAAATTTCACAGTTTGTTAACTGGTTAATGAGGGTCAGTTAGTTGGCAGCAAAATTGACCGAAATGTGCATCCCTAGTACTGACATTTTTCATTTTAGTTATTTAGCAGACACTCTAATCAAGAACGACTTACAATCAGTGCCTTCAACTAAAGTAGATAAAACAATTTAGATCACTTATTCCTTTAAAATATCAAGTAAAACCTTGAAATATCCGCTCTCTGGCTAGAAATAGTAAGGGAAAAGGCAAGCAGTTTTTACATAGTAAAAAACAAAACGGAATACATTTACTGATTGTTTTAGTTTTCCTTCTGTGCCGTTCCCCAGACGTCAGTGTGCGGGAAGCCTCAGACGTCGACGGACCGCCACAGCCAATCCCTGGACGATGTGCGTCTCTACCAGAAGGGCTGCCTCCAGTGGGCGGAGCTATGCCAGGACACTGCCCACAGCTACACCTTCGGCTGTGCCCAGGAGCTGAGTGACAGCAGTGGATACCAGGGCAACCTTGCCGAGCAGTGCGCCGGTATCCGCGGTGACCAGCTTGACGGCTTCCCCATCAAGAGGACCAGCAAGTATTTCTCCCTGGAGCTGACCAACGAAGAGGTCCCAGAGTTTGTGGTGTGATGGATGGACGGTGGAAACAGGGGTGAGGATGAATGGGTGAGGCAGAAAAGGGTGGCTTCAAGACCCCTGCTCCCCTGCCTCCACCGCTCAGACTTGTAGGTGCCTCAGGAAACCGAATGGGACGAGAGAAGAGGGTTGGAGGTTTGGAGAGGTGATACTTGGTTATCTGTCTATTGCCATAATCTGTGTCAGCCATAACAGCCATCAGCACTGGACTGGGAAGAGTCAGATGGAGGTTAAAAGCCCTACATCACCAGAGAGACAAATAACTGACAGTGAAAGCCCTTTCGGAGGTATCTTTTGCCGAAACTGGAATAATAAAAAAAGGATAAACCTTTTCTGGGTTTCAAGAAAACCTGGCTGCATCTTTTAATCAGACCGATAATGCTCCACAGTGACACTCTGGTTGGGAATGGAGTGTCAAGGGCCAAGTAAGGGAACGCCAAGGAATACCTCACCCTTTAATTATACAACCTCCGACCGTCTGCGTTTCCAAAGCATGTACTCTCTCCAGAAAGGTTTTTGGATCTGAATCTAGGGTGCGTTTGCCTACTATGACTTTACTAATGCAGTACACACACACACACACACACAGCCACACACACACACACACACACACACACAGCCTACATCTAAATGTTCTGCCCCTACAAAAATAAGGAACACTGTCATTGATAGTGAAGCTATATGTGCTATGAACCAAAGACAAGTTACATTAAACAAAAGATAAAGTCTTCATGTCCACATTATTATTATTATTATTATTATTATTATTATTATTATTATTATTATTATTATTGTTGAAGTGTGTAACCAATCAATGAAATGATACAGCTTTGTGAGTCCATGACATGATATTATGAAGTCACAATGAGCAGGTTCTGGATTGATCCAGAATCTAGAGGTTGATCCAGAAGAGGTATCAGAACCTTTTAGAAGAAGGAACTCTGATGTCCTGCATCTCCTTTCCCTCCCTCTGTCTCCAGTATGCAGTATGTATGATATGACATAATCTCAGAGCCCACAACCAAATCCAGCATGCGCTAGTCTGAGATTAGACATGACACGCCACTTCTCCTTTCTTTGCCAGGAAGTGCAATGTGCCAACAGTTCCCATGTAGAGCTGTTTCCTAGTGTGGTGACTAGACTGCTATTATGAACACACCCCACGTGCCTTCATTACACCTATGCATGTCCTGAACCACAACCGTGCCTTGACAATCAGTTCCAGCTTCTCGCTAAGCAACACAACACACCCACACGAATCACGGAGATCAGTTTTTAAGTCATAAGGTACATTTGAAACTCTTCTGTAACTTTATTGTTGGTCAGCAGTACATTTGGTATTTAATCAGACTTTAAAAATCATTATTCAAACAGTTTTAGCTGATTTAACCAGTAATCAATGAAGGGGATTACCCCTATAATGATGTGATCTACCATCCCTATCCTACCATCCCTATGACAGACATATTTGAATCTGTGGCAGTTAGTTTCCTGTCATGTGACATGTAGCACTGACAACGTCATTGGCTGTTTCAGGACTTCCTGACGAAGTCATTGGCTGTTTCAGGTCTGCTCTGTTGCTTGGGGCAGGATGAGTTTCTACATGCCCTCACCTGTCTGTCTGTGTGCAGAGCTGAGAAAAGTCCAGATGGAATCCACATACACAAAATGGAGTTGGGTTGGGTTTAGGCCAACTCTCAAACTGGCATTTGACTTTGTTCTTTCTGTATGCTGATATTTTTTTATTATTATTATTATTCACTCGGTTGTCTTTGTTAGTTTTGATTATTGTCTATTGTTTGTTTTGTCTCAATTTATTATTTCAAACTGGAACTTGTTACAACATTTGGTTTCTTTTCATTTTATCATTTTAGCTAATTGGAAGTTGAAAGTAATATTTTTTGAATGGATCATTTTAGAACAATGAGATTAGTTGTATATGTTGAAAATGTATTATTTGTGTGCAGTTGATGTCTGTCAGTATTATAAGCAATGTACATGTATGTGAGAAAATTCACGTAAAAAATATTGTGCCCCTTTTTACCCAGCGATAGTCTCATTTCATCTTACAGTAGCTGAAGAAAGTTGATGCTTACTGATTTTTACATTACTCAGTTAATTCGCCAAGAGCTAAACAATTTTCACAAGGTTTGAAACCCACAACTACACAAATCATGTTCGTATAAAGACAGCTTTATTATACCTTACTATGTGTGGATCCAGGCAAGGCTGTCTGGCCTCTTTTTCTATTAGATTTTGTCATAGAGAGTTCTAACTAATAAATCTCCAAACCATACCTATTCAATATAAATAGAAAGTAGAGTATGTCTTCCAAATGTCTTTCACACAGTACTTTTGCATTTCTACCCCACTCAGTAAACCTTATTGAGAAGACCGTGTCAGTTTCATTAACCTCCTCATTTCATGTATGGTAATAGTACATTATGCATGTACATTTGTATTCCAACCCTCATTCGCGTTATCTAATATCTCTGGAGTAATGAACTAAACAAAATGCTACTTCATGATGTATTTGGAATTCTAGACCACTGTGTACCTCAGTTAAGTAATCGTTTTGGATCAACATTCTAGCTGAGCTTTTCCATTGCTGCTCAAGGGACCTATGTTCTAGAACCTTCTAGAGCCCTCTAAAATAACCTTCTAGAACCTTTTAGAATGTTCTAGAAGTAGCTCTGCTGTGGTAGAGTGGTGAGACCTGACAGTTCCACTTCTCTTCACAGCTGGTCTCATCAGCTGGACACATTGGCCTAGAACCACAGAGCAAGACATCTTGATCTAGAACCACAGATCAGGCCAAGGCAGCAAGACGTGATCGTTGGAAAGAAATGTGTACTAATGAATACACTTATGAATTTGATATTGTTGTGTGATTTCAAAGTAACAGTGTATGCTGTAACATTTTATTTCTAACGAGATGTTACTAGCTTCTCTATTTTTACTCTTATTTCTACTTATTAATAATGGGTATCCGAGCAAACAAAGACTTGTTCAAATGTTGAAATATTTTTCTGGTAGATTATTGATGTTCTATGCTATATAAACCCAGCGTGTGTCCAGATACACCACCATTAAAACAGAACAACAACCTGAAAACCTTTTTGTTAAACTCTCTCCTTTGGTGACTTTGCCTCTATACACATCCATACTGTGTGTCTGCCATAGTCCTTTCTGTGAAAGGATCTCCCTTCAGGAAAAAATGAATGATTTAGTTTTTTTGTTAAACCCTGTTGTAGTGAAACAATATTCAATAAAAATGTACATTTATTTGCCTAAGCCAAGCTGTCCTGACCTCTCTGATGTTTGGTCAATGTTGTGCAAGCCATTCTGATACACTGAGTACAAAACATTAAGAACACCTGCTCTTTCCATGACATAGACTGACCAGGTGAAAGCTATGATCCCTTATTGATGTCACTTGTTAAATCCACTTCAATCAGTGTAGATGAAGGGGAGGAGACAGGTTAAAGAAAGATTTTTAGGACTTGAGACAATTGAGACATGGATTGTGTATGTGTGCCATTCAGAGGGTGAATGGGCAAGACAAAATATTTAAGTGCCTTTGAACGGGTTATGGTAGTAGGTGCCAGGCGCACCAGTATGAGTGTGTCAAGAACTACAAAGCTGCTGGGATTTGCACGCTGAACAGTTTCCAGTGTGCATCAAGAATTGTCCACCCAGCCTGACACAACTGTGGGAAGCATTGGAGTCAACATGGGCCAGCAATCCTGTGGAACGCTTTCAACACTTTTTGTAGAGTCCATGCCCCGACGAATTGAGGCTGTTCTGAGTGCAAAAGGGGGAGGTGCAACTCAATATTAGGAAGGTGTCCTTAATGTTTGGTATACCCAGTGTATAACAGACGGAGCAATGAAAACAGAGTCAAACGCAGTGCCCTATTCAAATACTTTAAACATTATACTTGTTTTTGATAGCGGCTATTTTGAAGAACGGTCCATTTGTAATGACTGCTATGCGGCTGTTTTTCCCTACTAAACTTGGTTGAATGCACCCTGACATAAGCTGTTATGCACCTGACAGAAGCGGTGAATGCACCCTGACATAGCTGGTTGAACACCCTGCAAAGTGTTGAATGCACCACTGACAGTAAGCTGGTTGAAGCACTGACAGTAAGCTGGTTGAATGACCTGACAGAGCTGTTGAATGACACTGACAGTAGCTGGTTGAATGCACCTGACAGTAGCTGGTTGAATGCACCACTGACAAATGTTGAATGCACTGACAGTAAGCTGGTTGAATGCACCACTGACAGTATGGTTGAATGACACTGACAGTAGCTGGTTGAATGCACCTGACAGTAAGGTTGAATGCACCACTGACAGTAAGCTTGTTGATGCACCCTGACATAAGCTGGTTGAATGCACATGACGTAGTGTTGAATGCACCACGACAGTAAGCTGTTGAATGCACTGACAGTAAGCTGTTGAATGCACCTTGACAGTAGCTGTTGATGACACGACAGTAAGCTGGTGAATGCACCCTGACAGTAAGCTGGTTGAATGCACCACTGACAGTAAGCTGGTTGAATGCACCCTGACATAAGCTGGTTGAAGCACCACTGACAGTAATGTGAATGCAACCACGACAGTAAGCTGGTTGAATGCACCCTGACAGTAAGCTGGTTGATGCACCACTGACAGTAAGCTGTTGAATGCACACTGACATGCGGTGACTAGCTGTTGTAATGCACCCTGACAGTAAGCTGGTTGAATGCACCACTGACAGTAAGCTGGTTGAATGCACCCTGACAGTAAGCTGGTTGAATGCACCCTGACAGTAAGCTGGTTGAATGCACCCTGACAGTAAGCTGGTTGAATGCACCACTGACAGTAAGCTGGTTGAATGCACTGACAGTAAGCTGGTTGAATGTACCTCTGACAGTAAGCTGGTTGAATGTACCACTGACAGTAAGCTGGTTGAATGCACCCTGACAGTAAGCTGGTTGAATGCACCAC